CCAGTGCTCAGGGAAGGTTAGCAAATGGCCTTTAAGATGGCCAGAACCATGTAAGCAAGGACAGCATAAGCCAGTCATAGCCACAGAGAAGCTGTGGCATTGCCTCCAGATCCCTGAAGGGCTGTCACATGGGCCCTTAAGGGCAGTCTGGGCTGGCGGGGCTGAGTACACTGCAGCAGGACCACTTAATGTCAGAACTGTGCGGATGGAAGGACCTTGCTGCCACCTCCCTCACCTCTTCCCAGGGCTCCCCTTCCCTGAAGCTGCTGGTAGCTGCCCTGTGTTCTGAGGGGTTGGGAATAAACACTGACTCTGACTCCTTGCCTGCAGGCAAGGCTGTTGCTCGGCGTCTGAAACCATTCGGCGTCCAGAGATTTCTGTATGCAGGGCGCCAGCCCAGGCCTCAGGAAGCAGAGGAATTCCAGGCAGAGTTTGGTAAGTAAAACCTCTAGCTTTGCAGGAGCTGCACCGGTGCTCAGCTGGAGGGCTCCGTGTTGTCTGTAAGAGCGGTGCTTTCAGGCAGAATGTGGCAGCTCCGTATGGCCCTTGGGGTTCCCTGACCTTCCTGCCCCTGCAAACAGAGGCACATGCAGGGAGCACGGGGACTCATCCAGGTCTCCTGTCTTTCAGAGCCCGTTATCACCAGTGCCTGTGTGTGGGTAGAGCAGCAGGGATGGTGACACACGTAAGGAAACTTTCACAGGTTCCTCAGTGAACTAGTGAGTGCCACTGCCAGCCTTGTGTCCGGGTGGATCCAGCCGCCTGGCAGGTGCACAGCTTGGGGAGCAGAGGGCAGGCTGGATTTCAGTCACTTCTCACCCCCTCGGCATGTTGGGCCTTGGAGGTGGTGAAAGCCAGAGTGGCCTAGATCCTGTTGTGTGACCTTGGACAAGCTCCTGCCCCTCTCTGGTCTCAGTTTCCCCACCTTTAGACCAGGGGGCTGGCTGAATGATGTAATAATACACCAGGGTCCCACAAGTGGCTGTCTACTTTGTACCATTACCATAGTTGTCCAGGTAGAGACGAGGCCTTAGGAAGCATCTCGGGAGTTTCTGTTATGAGAGGAGGGAGGAACGGTCAGGTTTCCCACCTCTTGCTTCCCCTAACCTGAAACTCGATACCTGATGGAGCCCTACCCTCCCCCAGTGTCCACCCTCCAGCTGGCTGCTGAATCTGATTTCATTATCGTGACCTGCTCCTTAACACCTGCAACCAAGGGGCTCTGCAACAAGGACTTCTTCCAGCAGATGAAGAAAACGGCCGTGTTTGTCAATGTCAGCAGGTATCCTGGGGCCACCTGGCACCCCTGGGTCACTGGGTGAGACTGGAGAGGGGCTCTCCCTGCTGTTGTGATCTGAGGTTTTTTCTCCCTGTGGGTTGTTGGTGAGACTCAGGCTGAGCTTACTGCTCTCCATAAACCAGTGAACCAGCCAACTCAGAAATACAGTAAAAATCCCAGAGCATGTCCCATGTGCTTAGAGCAGGGCCCGGCCAGGCTGGTTCCCAGCCGGACCCCTGGTCTTGCTTAGGGAGTGAAGACAAGATGGCAGCGAGTTACCAGGTAACCTTGGGGAGGCCCATGTTCCTCTAACCACAAAGGGTACAGCCCTTTGGAGGCCGACCTTCATGGCGCTGAGGCTGGGTCTGTCTGTGAGGCAGTGACAGCTTGAACCCTCTTGTTCCTGGGGAGATAGACCCAAAACCCTGGTTGTCTTGGTTCCTCAAAATGTTCCCAGAGTTCCTTTAGGCTACGGAGGGAACCTTCCTTCTCTGCCACTCCAACCGCTTCCTAGCTGGTGCCTTTGGAACCTGCTTTAATCAGTTTGGGGGCAAAGATGCGCAATGGGAAGGGATGAGGTCGCCCCAAGGGCTTGTCCACCCCAGAGGTGCCTATAATTACTAACGTTTAGCTGCAAAGGCAGTGAGTGCCCTTGGCGTAGAGGGAGACGTACAAGAACAGTGTTGGCTCACACTGAGGCCAACAGTGTTGTTGCTTCCATCACATACCCCCTACTGCAGGGCCCTGCGTTACTGATTATTGCACAGGCGTTGTTTAGTGCACAGTATGAAGTCTCATGCAAATCAGTTCTCTACTCCAGTGGTTCAGTCACGGGAAGAATGGCTGCTCGCTCGGAGGGACATAGTGGGGTGTGTCTTTGGGTCTCTGCCCTAGTTAGGCAGGTGCCTGTGGGCCTGCTGCGGTGCTTGTCAGTGGGTGGTCTAGGGCCCAACACAAATGCAGCCCGTGGGCCCTGTTCGTGCAGCAGTGGTGTAAGGAGGCACTCCTGGGAGTTAGGTGGTAGTCTCCCTATCTTACAGAGGAGCACTTGCCCAAGGTTGCACAGCTTGAACGTGACAGGGCTGGGGTTCTTTGATCTGCACAAACTGTAAATAAGTATACTGTGGGACTGCTTTGAAAGTCAGTGCCAAGTACCAGGGCAATGGACAATTCATTCTGTGGGTGGTTCTGCCCTAAAGGCAGCCTGGGTCACGCTGTCTTCCCAGGGGAGAAGTGGTGAACCAGGACGACCTGTACCAGGCCCTGGCCAGCGGTCAGGTTGCAGCTGCTGGACTGGATGTGACGACCCCAGAACCACTGCCTACAAACCACCCTCTCCTGACCCTGAAGAACTGTGGTAAGAACCGCACTTTGCCAGCAGCACTTCCTGCAGCGGCTGGTGAAGGCAGATTGCAGTTCTCCTGACACTCTGGTTAAGCGTTGTGCCCCTCAGAGACCCAAGCCACAGCCCACAGACCAAAGGGGCCCTCCTCAGCCTTCAAAGTTTTAACAATCCATCCTTTTGCCCCTAAGCCCATGGCGGGTGGGGTAGATGCTTCTGGTGTCTTTACCTCTGTAGCGGTTCTCAAACTTTTATGTTCACTGGTCACCTGCAGGGACTGATCAAACATGGGGTGCCAGGCCCCCATGGGCTTCTGCCTCGGCTCTAGGGTGGGGCCTGAGAATGAGCTCCCGATGGGCCCAGGCTGCCTGCTTAGCGTTCCTCTTTAACCTCCTCGGTTACCATTAACAACTTTGTGCCTACTTAACAATTCTCTCTGTTACCTTCTCTGTTCTGGTAGCTGGTGTGGTTTCTGTCTCCAGACTGATCTGTAACTCAGTGGTTCAGTGTAATTCAGCCTTAGGTTGTGTGGGCCAGGCCCCCACCTTTACATTCTGGAATGGAAACCCACAGAGTGGGTCCTCAGCTGCCTTCCCCACAGTGAATGCTTCCATTATTGCAGCCCTGGAAACTCGGGCATCCCTACCCCCATGCCAGTCTGAAAGGAACATCGGCTGTGATGGCCTGGCCGCTGCCCGCAGCTGGGAAGGCCATCCCATCCCCCCAGGCCTGGGAGTCCAGCTCTGCTCCCTGGGTACGGCTTTAGGAAGGTGCTCTTTGGGGACGAGAGTGACCTGATTTCCTCTGCATTGGGGCCAGAAGGAGCTGTGCTGTCCAGCCTTTCCTCTTGTTATTCTGTAGATTAGAAGCCCTGGCATGTTACTTTCCAGGGCACACGGTGTGGGTGAGCAGTTAAATTGACACCTAGTTTATCTGAAGGACTGAGTCTAGATCAGCTCCAACACCCCTCTAGCCCCAATATTCTTGAGTTCAGGATACATACTTCTTGTCACCCTTGTGTCTGGGTGTCTCTCTGACCCTCAGCCCCAGGGCAGTGGAGTGGTTAGTGACAGGAGGGAGGGCAAACCAAGGACTAGTGAGGCAGGTCCTTTTTATTATTCTCATTGGCAAACCCTCACCATGAAAACAGGGCCTGCGTTAACGCTCTTGAACCACCCTTCTCTCCCTCTCTCTCCCTTCCAGTGATCCTGCCCCACATCGGCAGTGCCACCCACAGAACCCGAAACACCATGTCCTTGTTGGCAGCTAACAACCTGCTGGCTGGCTTGAGGGGGGCGCCGATGCCCAGTGAACTCAAGCTGTAGCCACACGGGAGACACCAAGGGCCAGGAGGCCAATGGCCCGGGATTGTGTCAGACGCAGCCAGGCTTGATTTGGACCTACAAGATGGGAGCCAAAGAAAAAAGTCTGATCTGTACTGATTCCACGGAGGGGAGACTGGTGCTGATAGACGTGCTTGCCACTTTTGTGGTTGGAAACATCTGAGCCCAAAGTGTGTAATTCTATTAAAGAATTCTCTGAGACTGTCTGGGCGTGTGACTGTGAGACGCTAACAACCAGCATCCGCTTCCCTTTCCAGATCAGGGCCTCTGGTGACCTGCGGGTTCTGCTTCCCACCCCTGTCCTCACCCCCAGCGTTTTAATTATTAGAACCTGTCCGAACCACCTGACCCTCGTCCTCTGCTAAAATGCCTTCAAGTGTCCCTCACTGAAGATGGAACAACCATAGCCCAGAGCAGTTGGATCTGCTTCCTAAACTGTTGGGCAAATTAAATACGCATGGCGAAGTGAACTAGGTAAGGTCACGGTACTCATATTTTGGTCAAGAATAATCAAGGTAGGTGCATCTCTCTTAATTTTTGTTTTAAAATTAGTTTCAGAACCTTTACACTTGGCTCCCTGTGTCCCTCCCCTCCTCCACCCCCACCCCCCAGGTGGACACCCTTTTCTAATCCCCTCACTTCTCCCAAGGCCAGGCCACCAGCTCTGCCGAAGGACTCGGGGTCCAGCTCTTCCCCACGGCCAGACCAAACTGGAGAGTGGAGTTTTCAACCTGGGAGGCAGGTAAGGGAGCACCAGAAAACATACGAATTCAACAGGCCCTCAGGGAGTAAAACCAGGTGGACTGGGAGCACCACCTCACACTTGTCTGCAGCTCAGAGACAGACAGCGCAGGGACAGCAGAAGGGACGAACGGAGGGGAACGACCGATAATTGTTACTGACAGCATGACAGTATTTTCTAGGAAGCTTGGTTTAAAAAATAACTAGTCGAAGCAGGGTTAGCAGAGAACGCAATACCACTTCACTTTTTGGTTTCAACTTTAATAACCTAAGGCAAAGAAAAGAACACAATTAGTTAGAGGCATGAATATGACAAATTTTTTATTTCAAAGTCTCAAACTTTGACCAGCATAGCACCACTGACATGGGTGCCCTGACAGAACTTTATGATTTGGTCACCAGAAACAATTATGCCAAGCTATAATTAAGGCTAACCAATCAAAATCCAGGTACCCAATACTAGTTATAATTCAGATAGAAACTACCGGTCATAGGAACCCTGGGACTGGGTTTTCCAGGGAACCTCTGAATTATGTTGTAAGTGCTACAGTGTGTACAAGGACACTGGCCCACAAGCTTGCTTCTCACACATAGAAACTGATTGACTAAGAGGTAGATGAGCAATTCCAGATTCCACCTAGCAGTGGAGAGGCAGGGTTCCAGCTGCTGTAGCAGAGATGGGCCCCGAAGCAAAGGCCACTTATGCCAGAGCTCCGGAGAGGGGACAGCTTCCTGGTGGAAGGGAAGGAGGGCTGCCGCTGCCCCTCCTGGTGCCACCGGTTCCTCTTCTCAGGCCAGGCAGGGCCTCTCTCGTTTTCCATGCTGACCCACCTGCCTCCCAGCTTAATCTCACCAGACACTGGTCCCCACGGAGGGGTGGATGGAGAGCCTCCTCACATCAAGTCAGAACTCAACTGCTAATAATTACCCACACACAACTTCACAGGTGATTCCCCAGCCTCCAACCTTCTCTGTCCCACATCTGTTGAAAGGAGAGGAATCAGAGGTTTCCCTTCTGGCTTTCCTCCCCAGGAATCGGTTCATAGGAGATGCTAAACCGACAATGAACATCATGAGTTTATTCACAGACAGATGTGTAACTGCACACACTAGATTAAGAGAAAACACATGCTGATTAGCTTTCTAAGCACAAGAACTGAAGGACAGTTGTTTGGTGTCTCTAAAAAAGCTATACAAAAAAAAGATGAACTCATGTTCTTGCGTGAATTAAACTGACTTCGTGAGCTCTACAGAGACAGGTTAACCTGTGCTGTTCCCCTGGAATCAGGGCAGCCAGGGCTCAGCCTGACGGGTGCTGCCAAAAGCCCTGATGGCATAGGGTCAGAAGACCATAGGATGGGGCCCCAAGAGGCCCAGGGCAGTGGCCCTGATGTCTCCTCAGATTGTCCCAATGCTAGGAGGAGGACTGACTTCATTTTTAGTTAGTTTTGAATTGAAGACAGTGATCCAGGCCCAGGAAGGATGCCATATGCGGAATGAGAGTGTGAAGAAGCGAAGCAGAGCAGGGGCTTGTCACCGGGTGAGACGTATCCGGATGGACCAGCCCTGAAGTCGGGATGGAGCAAGGGGTAAACGTGCCATGAAAGATCCCACAAAACAGGACTCACTTCATCAGAACAAAGACAGACACCAGCTCCTTCCTGACTTCCAAACATGGAACTGTCACGCAAATACAAGTTGGTTAAAACACTGCTAAACAGCACATATGGAAACAATACCTTACTCATCACTCCCTATAAGTACATACTCCTTTTACCAACCTTGTTTTTAAAACCAGGAAAAACTGTTAAAACATCTATGCAACAGTGATGTTTTCAAAATTATATACACCTAGTAGTCCAGAGAATGCTCACTCTGAACCCAGTGTCAGCACCATCAAAGTGCAGTGTCTGTGACTGCAAATTAGGCAAAAATTTAAAAATACAGTACTTTCTGAGGCCTAGGGACTAGCTCGTGATACATTTTAAAGCATCTGTGGCAGACAGGCGTGTCCTCAAGGGCCTTCCTTTAAGACAGGCACAGAGTTGCCACTGGTTACACATAAGTGCATTTTGCATCACTGAACAGGTATATAATATTCCCATCAGAAGGTATATAGGAAGTTTAAATGCTTCAGAGTTTTACAAAAATTGCTAAAAAAATTTTTTTGCACTTCAGTTTTAATTTTTAAATGTGCCACTTTTAACATCAATTACAAACTACTTTCTGACTGCATTACTCAGCCCTAAGGAAGAACTTAGCTTCAGGGATTGTATCCCTTCTCTGAAAGCGCACATTTCACTTGGAAACGCCCCCGCACAAGCACAACACCTACTAATTCTCCATTCTTCGTCATTGGAATTTGCAAGAGCCATTCCCGGTGTGAAGCCTCAAACCCAATGGCGTTGGCCACGAACCAAGAGACTAGTTTCGGTCCTATGGCTGGCATCGGCATTCTCGCGGGGCTCGGGTCAGAGCAGAGTGCTGGGAAGGTTGCTGCTCTGCCAGCGCAGGCAGGTGGTCTTCGAGTGTTTGTACAGGTGGCTGGACTGACTGAACCTCTTGCCACACTTCAGGCAGGCGTAGGGCTTTTCACCTGTGTGAACACGGATGTGCTTCTTGCAGTCTGTCAAGGTCAGGAAAGTCTTGCAGCAGATTTTACAGGCATACTTGCGAGCTCCCTCTACAACCAAGACATTGTGCTCTGATAAGGCCTTCTTGCACTTCGACAGGACGTCTGCAGATGCCCTCGTCAGCTGTGGGGGGCCGGGCTGCGAAGGATGGCCACTTTCAAAGGAGGATGTGGCTGTGTTCATCATTAGCTGGGAGCTGGCAGAGTTCTCTGGGATCTGGGAGCTCCTGACAGAGGTGACCACTGGCATTTTGGGAGCTATGCGGCGATAGTATGGAAAGTTACTGGCTCCTCCCCTTGGGGAGCCCATCATTACCCTGGAGAAGGAGGAATGCAGCCCCAAACCAGACCTGGAAAAATCCATCCCAAACTGTTCTCCTCCTTGGTAGCCCGAGGTCTGCACACACGGCAGGCCCATCACCTCCTGCATGGGCCTGACAAAGTGCGAGTCCGCGGGCTCGCTGAACGGGTTCTCCACATGAGAGCCAGGGGCCGAGGGGGGCCCGCCTGCAGGCCCAGCCTCTGGACTCAACAAATAAGGGGCCTCCCCCTCCAGCCTGCAGTCACTAGTGGTGTTTGGGATATTATCATCGTTACTCTGATTTGCACTAAAGTTACTTCCTCTGCTCTTGTTAAGAAAATTTGAAATGCTAAAAGTAGATTTATGTTCTAGGTTGTTTGTAACTTCCAAAATATGGATGTCCCCTACCCGGTCAGTGCTAGACTGGGGATCCGAGAAACTCCGGTCGCTGCTCTCGGGGCTGAGGTCTATCTTCTCCGCACTGACCACCACTCCCTCCACTTCCACCGACTCGCTGCCTTCTGCTTGGGAGGTCACGTCGCTCACTTCATCCTGAGGCTCAGGAGAGCTCAGGGGCTCGGATTTAACCACCACTCTCATGTGCTCCTTCTCACCAAGGCCATCCTCAGGGTTTTCACACTGAAAACTACTTTTCTCAGCTGCAGCTTCCTGCTCAAAAGTAGTCTCGACCTGGGTGGCGCGGGAGGCCATGGACAGCTGGGCCATGTTGCCAGCACTGTTGTCGGACTGGCTGGGCACCTGGGCATCTTCTTGAGCACCGAAGGACTGGTCGAACATGATGGCGCCATCTTCCTGGTTGTCGGTCATCCCGTCAGCCTTAGGGTTATCCACAATTTTCAGAGAATCTGGTGAAAAGAACTCCTCCCGAGAATGAACCCCTGGTGGCCCATTCTCTGGCGCCACGTCAGAGATGGCCGACTCATCCAGGGCGGGCCGGAGGCGCTGTCTGGCCCGCTCCTCCGCAGACTGCTTGCGCTTATGCAGGCGTCTCATGGGGAAGGGTGTCCGCGGGTCCAGGTTACTGCGCATTGAGGAGCTGATGGGGGCTGGCTGCTCCTCGCCACCCTGGCTGGAGCTGAGGGCCGAGCTGACGATGCTCAGTCCCAGCTGCTGCAGCATAAAGGAGCGCTGCATGCGGGCGCTCTGCTCCTGAATGCGCTCGCTAGGGGGAGACATGGGCAGCGTCCTTGTCGTTAAGTAATGTTTACATGCCTTAACGACAGAGTTCAGGTGCAGGTGAGAGGCTGCCAATAAGACATCCATAACGTTGCTCTCCCCCAGCATGAGGGTGGAGGTATACATCATGTCAATCAGTGCGGCAAAGGCCTCCGCTGTCACTACCTCGCTGTCCAGCTGGATCATGTTCATGGTCTGATCTCCCTCTGCCACTGAGAACAGGGCTCGGAAGTGCGTGCTGCACGCTGCCAGGACAGAGCGGTGGGCTTTGAAATGTCTGTTCCCCACTACAATGACACAGTCACAGAGCTGGCCGTGAAGCCTCTGGTAGTTCAGCTGCTGGAAGATCTGTTCAAAGTGGCCAGGAAAATCCATGATCCTAGGAGCAAAAAAGAAAGTGTCAAGACTTAGAAAAGCTTAAGTCAGAGTCAGAGCACAGAAAGTGTGATGAAAAGAACGGCGTGAATGGCCAGGCCCGAACCTTTTAAAGCTTGTGATGTTTCTGATGGTGGGCACACAGGCTACAAACCTGTCAAATGAGGAGCAAATGCTGGTTCAGCCGACAGCCCCGGAAGCACACACACAGGAGGATCAGCTACTGGCTGTTCTCTTAGAGACCCACTCTTATCACCCAGGGCCCGTGTTAGAAGACCAAAGTGGGGTGAAACAGTATCTACCCCAGAGAAGTCAGAGTCCTGCATTCCCTCAGGACAACAAAGAAACTCCAGGAAATTCCAGAGTCTTTTAGAAACCTAAAATAAATAAATGAAAAGGGCAAATCAATATTAGTGGGGACAATTTCCAGTTAGAGATGGTAGCAGACTGCACACACAACATTTACCCCAGACCCTGCTCCAACTCGCTCCTGAAACCCCATTAACAAGACAGTAAAATTTATTGGGGGGGTTTTGTCGTTGTTTTAAAGGTAAAAACTCACAAGGAAAAAAAAGAATGGGAAAGAAATATCCACAGCATTTTGGAAGCTGGTGAGCAGGTGAACAAATGAGCACAGCCAGAAAGCGGAATCCTAAACTGGCAGTGAATAAAACGCTGACTTATATACAACACCCCCTCAAAGGCTCAGGAACTGCTTGCCAAGGTGCCAGGGGAAGTGGAGTGAAGATGATGCCAAGACAAGAGGACTGGCTGGAAGTCTAGTCAGTAAAAAAAATAATCTAATGGAAGTTCCACACCGGTGGCACAGAAAAGATTAAATTTAGAGAGAAAGAGTAGATAGTGGTTACCTGGGGCTGAGGGTGAGCCCAGGGAGGGACTGCAAATGGGAAGAGGGACTTTAGGGGGCATGATGGCAATGTTCTAAAATTAGATTATGATGATTATACATCAAATTTTCTGAAAATATTTGAATTGTACACTTAAAACAAGGTCCTTTTGTAGTATGTACATTATACCTCAACAAAACTCAATAATTTAAACTTCAAAAAAAATAATAGAGAAAGAGAAACAAGATGAACAAATTTCAGAACCACCTCCTCAGAGTCCATTCTGAACGGCAGGACTTCTATGAAGCCAACGAGACTGACTGCTGGGGATAGCGCACATCTCTCTGATGACGGTAAGGAGTCACTGGGTGTTTTTCCCCTTAGGTGTGATAATGGCATTCTGATTTTCTTTTTTTTCAAAAGAGTATTTTTTAAAGAGAGAATATACTGAAATGCTTACAGATGAAATGACATGAGGTCTGGCATTTGCTTCAAAAGTTTATTTTTTATACATTTGAAATTTTTCATAAATGTTAAAATTTAAAAAGGGGCAAAAAGAAGAGTCCACATGGCCTATGGGTGGATCACTTTCCAAAGTGGAGTTTGTAACCATTAATCATCTGCACATTTTCATCCTCTGGACTAGTCAGAAACAAGAATTGCTTACTCTTCGAAAAAACTGCTACACTTCCTAAGAACTACGTGCCTGCTGACTCAAAGTCTCTGTATCCTTGACTTGTGCTCATGACAGATTCTCATTATGTGGTTGGAAAACAGGGTCAGTAGCCCCAAAGAGGTGCTCCTCTGTGCCCTCCACCCACCGACTCTGCAGAAGCTGAAAGAGCCACAGAGTTTAAAACCCTGTTCCACCTTCTCCAGAGAAGGAACCTCTGGTGTTCTGGGAGGGGGTGAGGCAGAATCTAATGGTTAAACCCCAGAATACAAATGCATGCAGATGGAAGATCTAGTGTGCCTGGCACTAGAGATAAAATGATCCAGTGCCTGCCCTCAGGGGGAAGAGACTAATGAACATTCAAATACAAGAAGGTATTATAATGCTATGATAGGAAGTATAAGGTGCTACAGGGGACAAGGAAGGGGCACCTGCCTCTGCCAGGGGTGGGAGAGGGAGTGTGGAAGGCCTTCTGCGGGCAGAGGTCTCTGGCTGGGTTTGGGTGGCTGAAAAGGCAAAACTGTACTCGGGACACCATGTGAGCACCTGAGGCTGGGATGAGCTGCTACATCGACAACTGGAGCATGAAGTTAGAAGTCTGCACCAGAAGGTGAGCTGCTTCCCCTCACCCCGCCCACCAGCAGAAGGCTGGCAGCCAGGCTCTAGGTCTGGGGAGCCCCTCCAATGGAACACCTGGGTCCCCATCAAATTTGCCTGTAGTGAAGCCCACAGTCCTCAGGGCCCATTCACTCAGTTTCCAATCACGTACTGCTTCACTCCTAAGTCTGAGCAGTCAGGAGCACCACAAACTGGAGGGGGAAACACCTCCATCATCATAAAGTCAAGGCCCTAAACAAACAGGCATCTGGAAGAAACAGAAACAGTGGGGCAAGGGGCAGGGGGGAACTAAGGGGGAAAAATACCTATAATTAAACATCCTCAGAGAAATAGGATACCATATCCACAAAACAAGAAGAGAGTATGTTTTTAACATTTTTAAAAAATGGAATATTCAGGAAATAAGGAAATTATTAAAAATTTAAAATTGCAAAATTTTTGTAAGTTACTAGAAGGGCTGGAAGATAATATGGTTGAGGAAATTTTCACACACAAGGCAAAGGAGAAATAAATGTGAATGAATAAGAAAAAAAGATTAATTAATGAAATCCAGGGTCTGATTATAGAAAAAGAAAAGAAAATGGGGAAAGTGATAAACAACATAAGAAAAATTCCAAGAACTGAAGAAGTTAACTTATTCAGACTAAAAAGGTCCACCAAGTGCTCAGCAATATGAATGAACAAACCCCCACACCTGGCTCATTACAGTGACATTTTGAAACACCTGGATAAACTCCTGAAAGTGTGTTGGGGGCCAGGGGCAGGCAGACAATGAATCGGGGATAGAACTGGCATTAGACTTTTCAAAAGCAGTATCGAAAGGTAAAAAGTGACATTCCTTTAAAGTTCTCCAAGAAAATTATTTCCAACTTAGATCATATCCAGCCAAACTAGTAATCAATTGTGAGGGGAGACCAAGGCATTTTCAGACAAACAAGAACCCAAAAGTTTACCTCCCACATATCCTTTCTCAGGCAGCTACTAAAGGTTGTGCTTAATGAAGCTGGGAATAAACCAACAAAAGAAAGACAAAGATCATAGGAAGTAGAGACTTAGCCTAGAAAACAGGCAAAGAGAATTTTAAAGATGGTGATGAAGCTCAAGATGACTGCTAGACAGCGGGGCTGGGGAGCAGCCAGTTCAGACTGAAGCAGGACTCCAAGAAGGAGCTCCTCAAAGGGAAAAAATGGAATGGATAGATCACATGGTATGGCTGAGAGTTCTAAGAAGTTAACAGTTCTATAAAAATGTGAAGATAGGTATTAAAACAAGAAAAATTTTAAATTAACTCCAGGAAAAATGGTTGTTTAGTTGCAGTGTTCTATGTGGTTTGTTTGTAGACAATGTTTACAGAATCGCAATAATGTGAACACGGAGCCAAATTTGAGATATTGGAAGGGTAGGGGAAGGCCAGTTTGCATGGGCAAGGGTGGCGTGGGGTGGAGTTGGAGGGAACTGGAGGAGAAGTGGTGTTAAGAAAGTTAAATTCTCACCTTCCCTAGTAGTCAAGAAATACTGTCTGAAATACTACCTCAAGAAACAGTCATATAAGCATGTTACTTGGAAGTACAGAAGTCAGCAGTGGAAGAAACAACTGAAACGAGTGGAAGTGGTTGCCTCTGAGGGGGAAATTGGAGGGGAAAAGGATGGAAGAGAGAACCGCTATTTTTTATCTCTAAGCAAGCCTTATGGAACTATGTGGCTCTTAAAACATAAATATATATACACATTAACTTTTATAAAATGAAACTTTAAAAAACATGGTAGATCCTTGACATTCTAAAGGCATACACTCTGAGATCTTTGCACATCTCCAAATTCATGAACACCACTGTGGCACTTCACAAGGATTCCTGCAAGCAGAGGGCAACGTGGACGCCACGCAGCACACCAGGCTCACCCACTTGCTCTCGGGGCCCCGCCAAGTTATGATTCAGTGAAATGACAAATGACCACAGAACACATACCTTAGGATCCCTGGGAAGTAACTAAAAGAGCAAACTCTAAACCCATTAAAAAGCAAGGGTCTACGGTGCCAACTCATAGGTCTTTGCTGTACCTGCAAAGTAACAGAGTAAAATGCCTCAAAGCAGCGCCACATTAGCCATATTCTTTTACCTCCTATTTTTTCTTCTGCTTTTGAAGAGTTTCCAACAACAAGATATACCACTGAAACACATACTTTCCCACTGTCACCTTGCTTTCTCAACCTTCCCTTTACTCGGAGTAAAGGGTCACCCATGGCAAGCACAGCACATGCGCCCCTGACCCCGACCTGCCTCAATCAGGGACCACAGAGCTCAAGGCTTTGGGGAGATTAAACAAAATGCAATTACTGCTCACAGTAATTGGGAAAAAAAAACGCATATCCTAGTAAGTGTCAAGTTCCAAGGAGGCGATTATTTTATAGCAGTCACAGGGAAGAAACATTCTGGTTCAAGAAGCAAACGAAATTAAACAGGGAGTTGTCTCAGGAATTTGTACCAACCTCAGAGTCACTCTGAGAACTAAGAGACCAAGTCAACTGGGGCCCCCTTAAGTTAAAACAAGTGCACTAGACAGTGAGCTTGCCTCTTTCTCCTGCCATGGAGACGGGAACCAACGTTTCAGTGCCTGCAGTGCTGACAGTAGCAGAGGTGGTGGTGGCAGTAACAATAAAACAACTAGGAATGGGAAGCAATAGAGAGAAGGAGCAGCAGCAGCCAAGCTAGGGCGCAATCTGGGGCAAAACCCCAGCTTTAGCCTGGTCTAGTAGGGGAACTCTGGAGTATAAATAACTGAGTATGAGCCACCTCAAGGCAAGGGAACCGGTCTTTCATAGCCCTGCATTAGTCAGTCAACAGCTAAGAGCCTCTCCAGGGAGACGGAAACTGCCAGGCACTTAGGCTCTCCGGGTCCAGGCATAATGTGATGCCAGTTACTCAAGGACAATTCTCAAGAGTCACAGACACCAGCCATCAGAGGCAAAGCTTCACTCAAAGCTGCATAACTAGTGCACAGAACTGGAAAAAGCAATCAAGGGGACCTAGTCAGAGCACAGACAGTATCTGCTACATACACTTGGTGACACTGAAGAGTAAAGTGATGTGTAACCACATGGATAAAACAGATGATACTGTCTGTTAGTAAAGGATATTTTTGTAAGTATACTTAATATATGTTTTATTCCCAATCTCCCACTGCTGTCCCAAAACTATGATCAAGTCAATTAGAAATCCCAATTCTTTTCTTCGATTCTAAGATGCCACTTAGCATTAAGAGACCCCACTGTAATAAAAGTTAGTAATCACTGTTTTAACAACTTCCTTGAGTAAATATACTTTCTCAGTTGAGCTTTCTGGCATAATTAAAGAAACCTTATTAATTTGGGTATTAAAATACAGCTAGCTGTAGTTATGATGGTCTGTCACTTAAGGCTTTGTACTTAAAACCAACAGAACCCAAACCAGGTTTACCTGAGTGAAAGCTATCTGAGAGCTCCTTGGACTACTGCTCCTGCAATAAATGGCCTCCAACAGCTCCCTCAGTATGGACATCATATGCTCAAGATTCGAAGTTCCAAGGAGGGCTTCTACGTGGGGAGCTTAGGGACCCACTCACCTCTCATGACTGTGCTGGAGAAGCAAAGAGGAAGGATCTTTCTATTTTGACTTCTGTAGCAAAAGGCTAGCTGCCAATTTATCAACAAAGATTACACATGAAGGGGACAGAGATAATTCACAACTAGGAAATCAGTGTTATTAGGAAGGGAGAAAGAATGCTGGAGAGCTTTATAGTGATACTATGTGATACACTAGGCAACAAAGTGATCTGGTCAATATAAGGACAACCAAGAACTGGCATAGCCTAATTTATACTTCCTATTCTTTATAAAAACTAGTCATTTGAAATAAGGTAGTGTGTATAGCAGATTGTATTTTCCAAGATGGCAGGCCACACTAAGATCTCCCAACTCACATGCTTTCTTACAATATGACACTAACACTCTCATCAAGAGGCGGGGGTCTCTGCTCACTCCCCTTGAAGCCAGGCAAGTCTATGACTATGGCAAACGTTATACTATGTGACTTGTGAGCTAAGTCATAAAAGGTGACACAGCTTTCACCTGGTCTTTTTGGCTTGCTCTTAGAACCCAGCCACCACTCTGTAAGGAAGCCCAGCTGAAATCTAGTTGACAGTCAACAGCTGCCTCCATGACTTCGAGGTGACTTCAGCCCAGGTCTTGATCTGACTACAACCACATCACAGACCCCAAGAGAGAATCATCTGAGCCCAGTCAACCTTTGGCACTGTTAGAGATAATAATAAAGTGTTTTGTTTTGTTTTGTTTTGTTTTGTTTTGTTTTAAGCCATTAAGCTTTCAAGTGTTTTGTTACACAGTAATAACTAGAATTTGAAACTTGTTAACATCTCCCCACAAATCAATATTCAAATACTGTCTCCAAAGGACATTTTTTGGGGGGTCTGTCTACTAATGTCTTCGGGGGAAATCACTGTTCACCCATTCTTAGTCCATCCACATGGTACAGACCAGACTGCCCCCACACCTCTGAGTTCCAGATGATCTTTAGCTCCTCCAGATGACCCAGGGAGGCCTGGCTACTTTGGTAACCACGCCCCTTCATTCAATCATTGTTTCAGAGATGGGTATGTGACCCAAGCCATGCCAGTTAGAGTCTGCCCTAGAGGTTTTTGCTAGTACTATCAAGACAGAGATACCCTCTTCACCCAGACTGCGAGCTGTGAGGGAGATGCAAGTCTAGTACTGATGGTGGCAATTTTTGCCTACCTGAGAATGAAGCTGGCATATAAGCAAGCCATCTAAAAACGGGGTTCTGATCTCATCAAGACCCTGGGATCCAGCCATGACGTAGTTAGCATGACCCTAGGACTTTCTATTCCATGAGCCAAAGAATCGCTCTTACCCTAACCCGATTTATGCTGGATAAACACAGTGTGAAGTTGAACTCAAAATCTTAAAAAAAAAAACAAAAACCTAAGTAACATGGCTATCCAACGCTTTTGGATCTAAAAGGGTATTTTTTAAAAATAAGTTAGTTTGGAATATATGAAATTTATTACTTTCTGCTGTGCTGGAAGGAAAGGAATCAGGAATCACAAAACTCACAAGCATCTCTAGCAAACTCAAGAGATCCAGTCTAAAAGCTCTACAAGAGCTCATGCTGAGAAGATAAGTGCTTTGCCAAAAGCTGCCTGTCTGAAGCCTTCTTCCTTAACTGAGGAAAAAAGCTTCAGATCTCTTTAAAAGCTTTCAAAATGTGACTATGAGTCTATATGGCTGGAGGAGATACAGCAAGCAATCTACCAATTTGTAAATGTCTGACTCAAAGCAAGTGTACACTAGGTATTTATTATCTGCAGGAACAGAGTTTTAGTAATTTCCAAACTAAATATAGTTAAGAAAATACATTTATACCACTGCTCATTACGTTTACATGAATAATCAAGAGCTGACTGTTTTCTCAATAGATTTACCTTTCTAATAATGCTTTACTTAGACTAATAAAAAAAAAGTTCATTTGTTTCCTAGAATAAGCCAGTTAGTTAATAGCCCGTTTTAAACTACGTGATTTATAAACTGACAGACCCACATGTTTCTCAATGACATATTAGTTCATAAAGAAAAGTACACCCATACTCAACATCATCTATCACCGTATCAAATGATTTGTTGCCTGACTGCCAACACAGGACCTCAAAGTTGCACTGTAAGAAGAATCTTAACATTCTAAGGAATTTTAATATTCAACATCCCTAATCTAGATAAAACCCTAGCAGAAAAATAAACAGAGCTTTTTTGCCCACTTGTAGAGATGATATAAGTGAAAATAAATGTAAGAGAACAAAACTAGGCAAGGTCTCAGTCAAGCAGGCTAGGATTTTTGACAGTGTTCCAAGTGCTGGAGTCCTAGAACATTCATCGATCTTCTGATCTGACCAACTAAGTGGGACTAGGTGGGCACACAGGTACCCAAGGTTAACTCCAGGTACCAGATCTGTCAGCGTGACCAACTTCATAGTCTCTGGTTCTGCTGTGTCAGGGCTGGCTCAGAAACTGGACAGATTAAGCCTATTAAAAAGGGAATCCATCAATGACTAAAGGTGAGCATGACTGGGAGTGTCACGCTATTAATGCCAGAAGCCCTTATGATCTCACCCTACCCTCCAACTTTCCCCACTCTCACCTTGTTTTCCAGTTCAGAATTCCTAGGGATTAGCTAACCCAGAACTTCATAATTCAGTTTGAATAAGAAAAGTTATTAATGCCCTACTTACATTCTAGTGTCAAGTAAAAATGTTCCTACTAAAAACTGCTTGCTGAGACCAGGGACTATGTTTTCTCTCTCTCTCCCCAAGTGCCTGATATACAATTTAATAATAATTATTTGTTGAATGAACTTTGTATGTAGATGAAATATGACACCATATTACCCAACACTCATTTTTCTGAGAGTCCCAACTGTCTCTGAAATCAGCCAAAAGCCAGAAAGAAAATCTTAGAACACCCACAGTAAAGATCAAAGTCTATGTATGCAAGATTTCCTCATAGGAAAGTCCCTTGAGCCTTACACAATCTTTTGTTTTAAACAAAATCTAAGTTTTTCTAGTTTCCTAAATGGCTGAAGATGAGCAACAGCAATTCTAGAATGAGGGCAAGAGGAGGCTGCATGTTGACAGCTGCAAAAAGAGACAGCTGACCCACCAAGGGAGAAAAGGGGCCCAAAGGGGCCCAGCAGCACGTACTGGGGGGCGATCAGCCCTCAAGATCTCAGATGCCTAGGAAGGTGTTCGTGTATCTGGTATACAAATTCATCCATCCAACGTTTTGAAGCACTTACTTTGTTCAAGATTAAGTGCTGTGGAACAGAGATCTGTATTGCAGTCAGTTCTAACCGTCACAGGGGCTTAGTGGAAACAAGTCATCCACAGATAACCGTATTACCAAGTAGAAAGCGTTAAGTGCCACATAGGAGATGAAGGTACCCAGTGGCTCAGAGAAGGCAAAGGGTATTTCGAGCTTCATGTTGGCACTGACAACAGAGCTACATACCGGTTTGGATTTGGATAAACTGAGATGTACGGTACATTCTAGACAGAGGTAAAGGCAGCGAAGGTTTGAGGTGGGGAAAGCATGTATCCATTCCGGCTGGAAGTAGGAGGTACTGGACAGTGAATGCTCATAACTGATGTTAATGATTACCGCAAGTCAGCAGAAGTTACCCATGAGGCACATAATTCTGAACTAAAGACTACCATCACTTTTCAGATAACTTTTGTAAAATATATCTTAATTGTATTTTTTAAAGTACCAGTCACAATATGGTCTCGGGTTGCAGCAACAGAAACTGATTCTAACTAACTTAAGGATAAAAATAAGTTGCTGAAAGGTCACTGGTTTGCTCCCAGAACTGATGGGAAGATTGGGCACCTGAGCTTGAACTGGGCAACAGGAATAATCCGGCCAGAAAGCTGTCTCTGTCCGTGCTGGACACAGCTACTAAGGCAAGAACGCTGACTCTACAGGGGATCTAGTCTCCCCCTTCCCTTCACAACTGTTACTTAGTTTTGATTCTTGAAAATCTTTTTTAATATTATGTGAGATGAAATGTGAAGTACACCTGAAGTAACTGTGCTGCGTACTGAAATACAACGTTGTCTCGAGGGAAAATACTTGTGTAACTTTTCAGTTGTAAACTGAACTAATTGTTTTAATCAAGCACCATTTTTATTTGGAAGAACAAATGACAAACTATGGTTATTCAGTCTTGACTATTTGCCAGATATTTTTTTGAAAATGAATGAAAAGAGCTTGTCATTTCAATGAAGACAATTTACAGTACTTGTTGTCTATGGTAAAATTTGAGCTTTCAACAGGGAAGGTAATAGCTCAGTGGTAGAGCACATGCTTAGCATGTACAAGGTCCCGGGTTCAATCCCCAGTACCTCCATTCAAACATGTAAGTAAGTAAATAAATAAATAAACCTAATCCTCCCCCTAAAATACATAAAATTAAATTTAAAAATCTATTAAAAAGCTGTTTAAAAAAGTAAGCAAACAAACAAAATAGATAACTATGTGAGGTGACAGATATGTTAATTAGCTTGATTGCAGTAATCATGTCACAATATATGTAGACATCAAAACCTCATGCTGGACACCTTAAATATATAAATTTTATTTTTATCAATCATACTTCAATAAAGCTGGAAAGAAAGAAAACAAACAAACAAAACCCAGAGAACAAAAAAAGTATATCACAACACACTGAATATAGAAGCAGGTATGAGACTCCACCTACCTTCTATTAAACCAGACAGTAAAGAGATTTGCAAAAAATATTAAGAACAATGCCACTGTGAGCATTCTTGGTGCCCAGATCCTGATTTCAAATACTATTCTCTAAAAAAAGGAACCCAGTCTAGAACTGGGGCAGGAAATACACAAGATCAGCCTGCAGCATCTTATAGAGCCAGACAGTAAGAAAGTGCTTAAAACAACAAACAGACGTCATAATGGCAGTATGTGAAAGGGGCACAGGACCCAATAGGAGCCAGAGCTCCCAAAGGCCAAAGCGGGACAATTGAGCAAAGACAAATAGTACTGGATTATAACCTAAAATATACAATAAATATCCGTAAGTCCATACTGATATAAATGATTAGAAAAATAAATGGGAGAAGAGACAAACCTCCTGTGCAGACAGATTCCACATAATTTATGTAGATACTCTGCCCTTAAGGAGAAGGAGTGTAACTCTCCACTCCTTAGGGTGAGCTGTGCATAGGGACTTCCTTCCGGAGCACAGGATGAAAAGGAGGGGAGAGGAGTAATTTCACCATGGAAAAATCTGACAACACTATCTCAGACAGGTGACCAAGGCAACATGGCCGGGAGTAAGTCATGCTGACAGCGTGCACCTTGGTCCGCATCACACGATGATATGGCGAGAATAGTACTTTACCTCTGTATCTTCCCCTAAAAAAACCGTAACCTTAGTCTAATCATGAAAAAGAAATCAGACAAATCCTAATTGAGGGACATTCTACAAAATACCTGACAAGTACTCCTCAAAACTATCAAAGTCACTGAAAACCAGAAAAGTATGAGAAACTGTCATAGTCAAGAGGAGCCTAAGCGGACAAAATGACTAAATGTAATGTAGTATCCTGGATGAGATCTTGGAACAGAAAAATGGCAAGAGGTAAAAAACTGAGGAAACCTGAATAAAGAATTGACTTTAGTTAATAATGAAGTATCAATAATCATTAATTAATTATAACAAATGTATCGTACTAACACAAGATGTTAATAATAGGGAAACCTGGGTGTGGGCATATGAGAACTCTATCTTCGCATTCTGTAAGTCAAAACTGTTCTAAAAAGTAAAGTTTATTTTTTTTAAATGCCACGATTTTCACTACATATTTGTTTTGGAAAATACTTAATTTTCATAAAAATATGTTATTTATGCTAACATGTAATGGGTTATTACTTTCAATAAATACTTAAATTTCTCCCTCCATTTTATTTTCTAATATGTTAGATACTGATTGTGCTAACTCACAAAAGCCCTTCGGAGTCATCAATAATTGTTAAATGTGTACAGGAATTCTGAGGTCAAAAAGTCTGAAAACCTCTGAAGTAGGTAAATTTCACATATATGGAAAATGCATGTACGTGGGATCTCATTCTTCAAAGATACTGGATCAATGAGACTTTAGTGTAAAGGCGGCCTTTGATTTATACATATATTGTGCTACTCAAGTTTGTGAAAGAAATCCCTCAGCATTTTCTCAGTAATATTACCTTCCAAAATCACTCACAAAGTATGCCTTTAACTTGTCACTACAGTAGCAAACTGTCAGTAGCACTGTACCACACTCACCACTGTACTTCTGTTAGTTGATGAAAGGGTTGAATGCCTCCTAAGAGCCAGGTCCTGTAGGTACTTGACATGTATCTCTTATAGATGATGCTCAAGCAGTGACTGTCATCCCCGTGTCTGGGGCCAACATCACCCAACTAGTACAGTAAGTGAAGGAGAAGAGACGTGAACCTAGGTCCAACCACAAAACTTCACTTTGCAGTATGGGAGCAGCCCCTAGGGAGACATGAGCCCAGTGGCGGATGACAGGATGTTCAGAGGAGAGACAGTATGCAGATACTAGTGTGAGCACAGGTGAGGAATAAGGAGTAGGAGACTGGAGGGAGTAAAGAGATAAAGCTGAAAAGCAGGGTCAGGTCAAAGGCTGAAAGTGAGAGTGAAAAGACAGGTGTGTAAAATGACAGCTAAGGGAATGCAATTAGAGCAAGGGTTTTCAAAGAGCTGGCAGGAAGGGCTTCTCTTCTCTTCCTCAAATCCTTCCTTGTCACTGATGCCACACACCACCGCCATAGACCACACTGCCAAGCCTTCACCACTGCCAACAGACCCCAGTTTGGAAGGTCAGGAGGGTGTGAGATAATCTTTGCCTTTTCCTCCTGCTGGTCCTTGCCACTGGCTCCTCCCAACCCTGCCTTCCATGAGGCTGGTGCCAAACAAGAATGAGAGAGCAGAGCTTTGGGTAGAAGAGGGGCTGGGAGACAGAACGCATTCCTGCTGGCAGGGTCACCTGTTATGAGGGAAGATCCTGGTCTGCCCAAGCCTGTCAGGGAGGTCAGGCTGCCCAAGCCTGCGTCAGTCAGGGTGGAGGCCCAGCAGCAGAATGCTGTCTGAGAGACAGGCATGCCCAAGACAGTCAGTTACAAGACAGTCTGACAGCACTGCACTTCAACGTCAAAACAATTTACGACAAACTTCACTGCTTTATCCTGCTTAGAATTTTACACTTGCACTTTAACTGTCCTAGAAATTTCCCTTTCTTGGGTACTATATTTTTCTGAAATTTAAAATAAATAGCCAGCTAGCTGATTATCTAGATAAAATAACATCTGTAGCCAGTAAACGCTTTAAAGATCACACAAACTTCACAAAGTTATGCAAAAACTATAGAAACCGTCTATCAATGGCATCTTTTCACTGCTTATAAATTTCAGACTAAATCTATCTTAACATCTATTTAGTAAGTCTAAATATATTTTCCTTCTGATATTTAAAAAATGTTGCCTGACACTCATCCCAATTGCCCCCACCACACACAACCTTTTCAGCAATTTTTTAAAATAGCTTTTATTGCCTTTTACCCCTGACAGATCAAGATAGGTATTTCCTAAGGAAAAAACTAAACTTTTATCAAGAAGAAAGCAATGCCAGAGCACTGCAGACACTATTAATGATAGTGACTTTCCAGGAGAGAAGGTGAAAAATGGATTTAATCATTTATTATAACTAGTTTACTTTCAAAGCAGTATAATTTCTTCACTTCTGAATCACTTATCAAATCAATAGTGTTCAGCAAGTGACTGATACCTCACCAGCTAAGTCGCTACTGACGTTCTACTCAAAATAAAATATGACGTACATTACTAAGTGTGCTTAGATTTTTGTACCATCTGTGGATTCCTCTCAAAACTGAACCCCAAAACAGTGGGTTTTCTTCTTCCTGTCCTCCTTCCTCAAACCCTCTCTGCAGTAGACTCTTAAAACAGAAGGACTATAAAATTTAAGGTCTTGCATTTTTAGATGAAGACAGCTAAGCAAATTTTAAATTATAATTCATTGATTAAGATGTATTGAAAAATAATTACAGCAAGTTAACAATATCATGTACAGAAGAAAAGGGGGAGCAATTCACCCTAATCGTTTGAAACTTAAGAAGTTGAAAATAAAGCATGTGTAAGCTTGTTATCAAGCACACAAGAAAAGGGAGAGCAATTCACCCTAACCGTTTGAAACTTAAGAAGTTGGAAATAGAGCATATGTAAGCTTGCTATCAAGTACACAAAATAACACCAAGTATAGTTTCCACAGAGCAGATCCAATATACAATCATCCTTTAAAATTTGTCAAAGAAACAAAACAATACATTAATTTCCATGTATATATGGGAAAAAGTATTACTTCCAATAGGATTCCTTTCAATAACAAACTTTCTCCAGAGTACGAAGGCAGATTTGGAAAATTAACTGGTTACAATTAACAATGAATTGATTGGGTAAAAAATTCTTTTAACTGTACCAAGTTGCATTAAATCTTAAGATGCCAGTGATTATAAAATACAACATTTCATTTAACATTAGTGGGAAAAAAGCTGCCAATTAAGCTCCACATAATGCTTACTTATGGCATCCTGTCTTCAAGATTAAAATGTGGTTTAGGGAAATACTGGAACCTTAAACATACCACTCAAATAAGTCAGAATATCACATGGAAAATTAGCTACAGATAAAATAATCTTAGATACTAAGACAGTCATCTACCTATATTTCAGTAAAATGTCAGTACACCAGCACAATTCCTAATCTGTTTGAGCTGTCAGAAAGATAAATCAAAGCTTTTAGTAAATAGATGTATAATTAATCAAATGAAAGGTACCCCCCCAAATTAGAATCTGGAGATTAAAAGCCACTATTCAGTGATGAAAATGATGAAAACAACTGTAAGAGCAATAATTCACTCAGAAACAGCTGATATTTAGCATATGAGAAGTTCACGTCATACTTAGACAAAAGGTACGTGTAGTGTTACACTCCATCCCACCTGCTACACCAACACAATCTGGCTCTCCTAGACAACATTCTTATTTGAGAACTGTTAAGTACAATATAAAAGGATGCACATGCTTATAACTGACAGGGGAAAAGTATTTGCTGACAACAAGTTTACATTAAAAAAAACTTCAAGACTAACATGAAATCAATACCTTGGGTTTTTTTTTCCTTTCCAAGGAGAAACTGAGGCAGACTCAAGATTCTGTGTCAGCACAACAGCAAGCTTTGTCATATCTCAGTGTACACGAAAGTTTAGTTAAAAAACTAGAGTTACCATATGATTCAGCAATCCCACTCCTGTGTATATATTGAAAGAAAACTCTAACTTGAAAAGATACATGCACCCTAATGTTCATAGCAGTACTATTTACAATAGCCAAGACATGGAAGCAACCTAAATGCCCACTGATAGATGACTGGATAAAGAAGTTGTGGTATATATATACACAGCAGAATACTACTCAGCCATAAAAAAGAATGAAATAGAGCCATTTACAGCAGCATGGATGGCCCTAGAGATTATCATACTAAGTGAAGTAAGTCAAAGACAAATAACATATGACATCACTTATATGTGGAATCTAAAAAAAAATGACACAAATGAACTTATTTACAAAACAGAAAGAGACTCACAGACATAGAAAATAAACTTATGGCTACCAGGGGGGAAAGGAGGGAGGGAGGGATAAATTAGCAGTTTGGGATTTGGAGATACTAACTACTGTATATAAAATAGATAAATAACAAGGTTCTACTGTATAGCATAGGAACTATATTCAATATCAATATATGTATGTATAACTGAATCACCATGTTGTACACCAGAAACTAACACAACACTGTATACCAACAATACTTCAATAAAAAAAGAACTCCAATTCAATAGAATTCATGCTAAGTACTTTAAATACTAAATATTTACATGCATTTCATATCCAAGTGATTTTTTAAATGACTTTAACATCTTGTGATAGTCTTTTGACAGTCTCTTTTGAGAGCAATGACACTAAGTTTAGGTAAACACCCACTCTGAGATGTTCTTCTTCCAAATCTTACTTTCAGAATTTTGCTGGACAACTCAAATAGCTAGAATATAGCTTGCCAGTATCCTCCGCTCACTATACCATGTTTTGACACAACTCTTAGGAGAGAAAAGCCAAATAAGAACACAAGTTGACTTCAGGACTCTTATTTAAAAGGTCCTGGCTCATTTTTTAGCAAAACGCAAGGGCCCAGAACAGGTCCTCAACCAGTCTTACCTGGCAGATCACCAAGCTGACAGTGGTGGTGGGGCCGGTCTTCCCAAGTTTCCTAGGATTTCCAGAGAGGACTAAAGCAATAATGGAAGGCCTTCCCTTCGTTTGGAGGCTTTTCTCTAAAATTCTCTCTCTCGTCTCCCCACCTAGTCTCTTTCTCCCACTTCTGCTCTTTTAGCTTACCATCCTCACCACCTTAACCACCCTCACCACCTCAATCGTAACACTTTACCGAATGCAGTTTCTCCAGAAAATTATGAGGCACCAAGCCCACCTTCTTTTAATCGTCTAAGGCACACTAGCCCAGACAAGGATAACCAATGATGACTCAGGCACAGCATTCTCTTCAATCTCTAAAGAAAGATCCAATGTATGTAATATCATCTACCTACTACAATTGAAAAGTACATGAACATATTTTGGAAATATTTTTGCTTCAATTCTTGAAGGTGAATGGTTTCTTACTTCCATTCATTCAAATTAACCAGAACCTGAGCATACTGCTTCGTAATCAAGACTTTACTGCAGTTTTACCTAAAAATTTTTCTCCACATTAAGCACCGAGGATTTGTGTCCTCTTCAGAAACTAGCTTCCACAGTACCCTCCACTATGCCAGAAATACAGATTGACTTTAACAACAAATGGCCTTTTTTGGAAGGTAAAAAACCAACCGTCGACCCCCACCTTAATTCACTACCTAATGTTAACATTTACATACAAATCTGTATGTCCTCCAAACAAGGGGAGGGGGGAAGGCTGTTCTTACCACAGCATCCCCCACAGCTTCTAGCACAAGCGTGGAAGCAGTGGGTATTCAATGAAAGCCTGCAAACACTTTAGTCCTCTGATAAGTTGGCATTCCAAAACACTGGCTCCACCCCTCCAGGGTCAGCCATCGGTTCCCGATTCCAGACCTCCTTGGCCTTGCTCCGGTGAAATGAAACCTCGTCGCTCAAAGAGACCCAGGATGGGGGCAAGGGAGCCACCCGACTTCATCCCGAAGACCCTCTATTCACTCCGCCAGGCTGTGGTCCCAGGCCTTTACCATCTGATCCCAGTAACCAACGCCGCCCGCCGCACATCCGAGGAGGCAAGAGCCCCCGCTCCACCCGGCAGACAGAGAGCCTGTCGTCGGGACACCGGAGACGCCTGCGCAGAAGAACACGCCTCCCACCCGCCTGGCCTCTCCGCTCCAAGGGTAACAATACCCCCTCAGAAAGACTGGCAGGGTAGGCGAGGTGGGGCACGGGTACGCGTCTGCGCGCGACCCGGAGCCTGGACGAAACCCTGCTCGCGCCGCCCACCCAGCTCCCCCAGAGCGCAACCGTCTCCACGTGAGCGCGCCCGCGCGCGCCACCACCACTCGCGTTGACAGGGTCGCCTCACCTGAGCCGGGCTCCGCCCCCCTTCTCGCTGGAGGAGGCGGTGACCCTTCTCCTATTCGACCCGACAGCGTCGGAGGAGGCGAGAACGTCCAGGCTGGCCCCCCCGGGATGGGATTTCCTCCTCCTCCCGCCCACCCGGCCTCTCGTCCCCCCGCTCCTTCAGCGCGTTCGCCGCCTCTCTCTGAGAACACCGCGGCGGCGGCCGGCAGTAAACGGAAGTGACGCAACGCGAGGTCGCCTACTCCGCAGCTTTCCTCCTCCCCTCCGGCCGAGCTGCAACCAATTAGAAGTGGAGGGGGCGGGGCCGGGGCAGAAGGGCAGCCAGCTGGCGTGCGGAATCCGGAGCATTTACTCGGCCCTCGGAACACCGACCAATCCGCTGCCCGGGAGCTTCGCTGTGTTTACTACGGACCGAATCCGTGAGCGCTGCGACCAATCATGGTTTGCCTTACAACACGTAAAACTGTTATCAAACGACTTTTAAGGCGGGATTTATCACTAAGCGGCACTGGGTTTGGACTATAGAAAAGCGACTGTGCGCGGAAGCCAATCCAGACGGGTTGTGATTGAGGCCAGCGGCTTTTCCGCCTAGTGCCACCAATCACAACCGCGACTGCCTGAGGTGTGAGCGAACTGCGAGGTGAGCCCGCAAGGTGGTGTGTCTCCCCACTGGCTGGACCTGGATTGCCCACACTCGCGGCGCCCGGCCCGTCGGTAACCCCGGGTTCTCTCTTCGATGCGAATTCCCCTCGCGAGACCCACGCACATACTCTGATTTCGAGGTTGAGTTCCCACCTCGTAGGCTTTGGAAAAAATAAAATGAATTCCAAGACGCCATTTAGATTGAATTAAGCCAAAATTCTAAGCTAAAGACGCTGAGCCGAAAATGCTGTCCCTCCGACGGCGGTTGGGTCCGACGCCGCCCCTCGTCAAGTCCCGGTGGCGACGTCTCGAAACGCTGGGGCCTGAGGAGTCTGCCCAGCGGCTGCCCATTCCAGCTCCCGGCTCCCTGCTTGCACTTTGCTCCGCATTCCGTGCCGCAGGTCAGCTAAGCCTGTAGTTTCCAGAACTGACCCTCCACAGAACAGAATTGGAAATAAGAAAAGTCGCGGACTTTGGTGGGACGCTGTCAGAAAAGAGCCAGCTCCAGGCTGCTCCCGGACTCCCAGGTGCAAGTTCCGATGGAGAGCCCAAGCCCCAAGGGACACCGGCCCGAGGGCCTCCGAGGTCGCTGGGCCCTGTGGCAGGGATGAAGCCCTCCTTCCCCGGTGAAGAGGAGAGAAGGAAGCCCGTAAGGGGCCTTGCCCGGTGGGAGCTGTCCGGGAGCTCGGCGTGGCTCCGGAGACAAAGGCAGGCTGGGAAAAGCCGCTCGGGTTTTTGGGGGTGGCAGTGGGGGCGGGACTATCTTAAGAAGGGAACACCCCACTTCAGAACTTAACACTCAGTTATCATTACAGCTGATCCATCCCTCCAGACCAGGTTGGAAATGTTGCCTTTGGGGGTGGTTTTCTTTAAGTCGGATGGTAAATTCTGTTACGATTCCCTGACATTTTATAGCCCTTACACATGTAGATTACGCCCGCTAGATTGGGCGATTAAAAAAAAAAGTAATGCTGACAATAAACCAGGCAATGTGAGGGGTCCTTTAACATACGTGACTCTTAGAAACATACTGTAAACTAGATGTTATCTCAGATTTACAGGCAAAAATTAAAAAGATTTGTATGTGCAGGACTTAAGAGAGTGTGTGAAAAAAGCCCCATCCTATATTGTTGTTGGGAGTATCATTGCCACTCTCTGAAGGTAACTTCGTATCTTCATATTTTAAATTATGCATTCATTCCCCTACAGCTGGCAATTCCTTTACAGAAATTCTACTTAAATAAAGAAGTGCGGAAAAATAAGTAGGAGACTCTTGATCACAGCTTTAGTAGTGAAGGAAAAAAGAAACAATGTGCATCTATTGAGGATTACAATACATTGATATACAGTGTATATGTATTATTGCTCCTTTATCATTAATGGTCCCATATACATACAAAACAAAACCAGTAAAAATCTGTATGTGGATGTACACATAAAAGTTTGTAAATGTATGGCCAAGTCTGAAAGAATACTATCAAACTGTTCACAAAAATTATTTCAATGAAGGGAAGTTGGGAGAGGGTGCTAAGGAAACATTTTAAGAATGAGGAAAGAGAAAGAAAGAAAATTACAAAACATTACTGAAAGAAATCAGAGAAGAATAAATGGAGACACATTCCATGTTCATGGATTGGAAGACTGAAGTTAATACTATTAACACATCAATACTACCCAAAGCAAACTACAGATTCAGTGAAATCACTGTAAAGAATCCCAGTGGTGTTTTGCCAAAACAGAAAAACCCATCCTAAAATTCATATGGAATCTCAAGGGATCCCAAATAGACAAAACTACCCTGAAAAAGAACAACAAAGCTGGAGGACTCAAATTTCCTGATTTCAAAACTTTCTATAAAGCCACAGTAATTAAAACTGTGGTAGTTGCACAAAGACAAACATGCAGACCAGTGGAATGAAACAGAGAGCCCAGAAATAAACTCTTGCATTTAATTATGGTCAAATGATCTTTGACAAGGATACCAAGACCATTCAATGGGGAAAGAACAGTCTTTTCAAATGGTGCTGAGGAAACTGGATATCCACAAGCAAAATAATGAAATTGGACCCTTAACACCACATACAAAAAATTAACTCAAAATGGATCAAAGACCTGAATGTGAGACCTAAAGCTATAAAAACTCTTAGAATAAAACATAAGACAAAAGCTTCATGACATTGGATTTGGCAATAATTTCTTGGCTATGACACAAAAGACACAGACAACAAAAGAAAAAACAGACAAATTAGACTTTATGAAAATTATAATTGTGCATCAAAAGACAATAGCTACAGAGTGAAAAGGCAACCCACAGAATGGGAGGAAATATTTGCAAATCATATATCTGAATAAAGGATTGCAATCCTAATATAAAAGATTAATATCCAAAATATATAGAGAACTAAAACTCAAAAAGAAAAAAAACCCTCAAAAATGGGCAAAGGACTTGAATGGACATTTCTCCAAAGAAGATATACTAATGGCCAATAAGCATATGAAAAGATGTTCGACATCTCTGATCATTAGGAAAATGCAAGTTAAAAGTATAAGATACCACCTCACACCTATTATGATGGCTACTATCAAAAAAATTAAAAATTAAAAGTGTTGGCAAGAATGTGGAGAAATTGGAACCCTTGTGCACTGTTGGTAGGAATATAATATGCTACAGCCTCTATGGAAAACAGTAAGGCATTTTTCTCAAAAAATTGAAAGTGGAATTACCATATGATCCAGCAAGTCCACTTCTGCATATATACCCACAATAATTGAAAGCAGTGTCTTAAAGAGATATTTGTACACCCATGACATTGTTCTTAATAGCTAAACATGGGAACAACCCAAGTGTCTATCAATGGAAAAATGGATAAGCAAAATGTGGTTGTATACATACAATGAAATTTTATTCAGCCTTAAAAAGCAAGGTAATTCTGACACATGCTACAACACGGATGAAACTTGAGGACATGCCAGTTGAAATAAGCCAGCCACAAGAAGACAAATACTGTATGATTCCGCTCATCTGAGGTGCTTAGAGTAGTCAGAATCATAGAAACAGAAAATAGAATGGCGATAGCTGGGGATTGCTGAGGTGGGAGTGGAGTTATTGTTTAATAGATACAGACTGTCAGTTTTACAAGATGAAAAGAGCTTTGGAGATGGATGGTGGTGATGGGTTGCTTAATGCTTTGAATGTATTTAATACCACTAAACTGTACACTTAAAATAGTTAAAATGGTAAATTTTATATGTGTATTTTACAATAAAAAAAACTATTTGCTACTGAAACATGAATAGATAAATCAATGGTTCAAAATAGAGGGTCCAGAATAGACCTAAATATATAAGAGAATTTAAAGTATGAAAAAGTTGGCATTTCAAATCCGTGGAAGGAACATAGTTTCATTTTTAAGAGGTGAAACTGGGAAGTCTTTGGGGGAAAAAAATACATTGAATACCTACCTGACTTCTTATCACAAATGTATTATTAAATGAATTAAATATTAACATATTTCAAAAACTAAACTATAAAAGAAGAATAAAACATGGAACAGGCTGTCCATAATAAAACTGTTTTAGATATGAAGACATAAATAGGTTGAATAAAATGAAAGAAAAAGATATATCATGCAAATCAGAAGAAAGTCAGAGTGACTATGTTAATATCAGCTAAAGTGGACTTCAGGGCAAGGTATATATTATGAGAGATAGAGGACAATTCTAGTGATAGAAGGGTTAATTCATCAAGGAAAGGTGACAAGCCTGAATGAGTATGATCCTAGTAACAAAGCTTCAGAACAAAGGCAATAAAACTGACAGAGCTGACAAGGGAAGTTCTAGAGACTTTATTAGTATCCACCCTTGAGTGTGCCTTTTTCCATTTTTGTGTGCCTCTTAGGAAGTTAATTCCTGAGGGCAAGGATAATGTATTTTCATTCTTAAATATTCCCAAGTGCCTTGGATAGTGTTAGGAGACAGAACTAGGATTTTTAAAAGATCTGAAAATATTTTGGAGAAAAATTTTATAGCGTGTATTAATCTTTTTTTAAACGTTCATGCTCTTTGATTCATTTATTCAAGTCCTAGGACTCTATCCAAAGGAATCCATCCAAAAAAGCAGTTTTATGCTTTAAAAGCTCGCTGAAATGTTGCACATAACAGTGAAAACATTGGGAATAGCCTAAGTATTCAGCGAGAGAATTGGATATACAAACTCTGTGGTAACATTCAATGTACTGTCATGTGAGATTTGGGAAAATGCTTACAAGATTATGTTGAATTTTTTAAAAGGAGGATACAAAATTGAATACAATATTAATTACACCAGTTATATAAATATACACAGAAAATATAGAAAAAATAAAAATGTTAACAATGTTTGCTTTTCGGTGGGGCAGGGATTATGTGTTACTATAATTGCATTCTTTATATTTTTCTTTGTTTTTCCCAATATTGGACATCAAATATGTTTGGTTTGATATATTTTTTAAAAATCTAAGAAATGTTATTAGGGAAAATTAACGTACCTGAAAAGTCTGAATTTAATGCAATTAAATTTAACAGGCCTTCATTTAAGGTCTGAATCTGTTTTTAAAAAATTGCAGAGGTGATGTGACTTAGCAGAAGCAAAGTCAAAAATTTTTGTTTATTTTTGGGGGTGTAGTAATTAGGTTTATTATTTATTTTTAGAGGAGTTTCTGGGAATTGAACCCAGGACCTCCTGCATACTAAGTATGTGCTCTACCACTTGAGTTACACCGTCCCCCACTAAACATTTTTATTTATTGTTAATCCTAAATAAGGTAACTGAACAGTATAGATGCTTAGAATAAAAGCACATATTGGTTTCATTAGAAGAGGTATGGCAAGTAGCACGAAGGAGGTGATGGATCCTCTTTCTTCTGTGTTGCCCAGCCTAGAGCTAATGTATTGATCTGTGTGGGGCCGCACAGTGTGAGAAGCATAAAGATATATTGGTGTGCGTCTGGCAGAGGTGACCAAGATGAGGACAGACCTAGAAATTTTGATGTGGGAAATAGCTGAAGGGCTGGAAGGAGTTGCTGAGAAGAATAGGTTCAGATAAAAGGAAAGCATGATCAGAATAGTCAGGTTTTTGAAGGGCTCAGCAGAGGAGTTGGTCTTGCTCTCTGTGGCCCTGGACAGCAGAACTGGAACTGCAGGGGAAGCTAAAAAGGCAGATTCGGCCTTGTAAAGAATGAGTCATTCATGTCTATAGGTAAGCAAGCAAAGTCTGCGTCAGGGATATGAAGGAAGAGGAAGGGAAGGAGAGTGAGACAAACCAGAAAAGAGAGAAAGGGATAAAAAAGAAAGACAGGCAGAAGAAACAGTTTTGAGAGCTCGATGTGAGTACAACAAACACGCAAACACGCTGGGATCTGCCCTGCCGTTTAGATCTCTGCTAGTGATATCCTGAAACGCCAGCAGATGGAGATATTACCCCAGGAAAGGAGGACTCTGTCTGCCCCCTCGCCCCCCCAACCCTCCCATTCCTTACTTTAAAAAAAATCAAGTTTTCTTTCTCCGAAAAATAGTGCTGAGAGAGAATTCCAGAAGTCTCTGAATTTCCAAACTAAATTTATAGCAAATATTTTATGGTAAATCCTGCCTGTGATTATCCCTGACTCTAATTTACAAGAGGTCACTATAGCTTTTGGCATTTCGGTCACAGCCTGGGTAGGGCCCTCTCCATCTTACTCCATTTCAGTTATACATACATGTGTGTCTATGTATATGGTGTTTGTGTGCTTAGAATCATTATTAAATAATTTATAGGGTATACTACATTCCCCCTCCCCAATCACCTTGCCATTAATACTTTCCTTCTCCTGATAGAATCTCTGTCACTTTGAATTCTTGCCTGTGGTAATTCTGGGAGGTTTTGCTCTCAGCCCGCATGTCATATCCTTTACTCTTCCATCCAGCTATAAAGCGGCCAACTCTGAGGGTTTTCAGACTTTGATAAAGATGTACATTAAAAGGGAAAGCCAATAGAATAGATAAACAAGATTATACTGGATAGCAGAGGGAAATATATACAAGATCTTGTGGTAGCTCACAGCCAAAAAGAATGTGACAATGAATGTATGTATGTTCATGTATAAATGAAAAATTGTGCTCTACACTGGAAATTGACATTGTAAACTGACTATAACTCAAAAAAAAGTTAAAAAATAAATTAAAATAAAATAAAATAAAAAGGGAAAGCCAAGAATCTTGTTAAAGTGCAGATTCTGATTCAGAAGATTAAACAGGGCTGGAGATTCTGCATGTTAACGAGTTCCCAGGTGATGTTGATGCTCTTGGCCCAAGGATCACACAACTTTGAGTAGCAAGGCCATACAATATGTCCCTGTATCAGGAAGGGCCAGGACACTTCTCTCAAGAACTACCATTGACTCCTTGTATCCACTGTTGTCTTCACCCATTAACTTTGATTTAACTGTTCATATTTTCATACAGCCAGTCAACATGTACAGAGGATCTACTATCTGTGAACCCAATGTCAGTTTACACAACTGGAAGTGTGATGAACAAGATACTTAGTCTTTATATACCTGGCCACAAAATACTTACTAATTACAAAGAGAAAAGAATAACTTTGCAGTAGAGGAACCTGGTTGATACCACTTTAATTAAGCGATCAAAGTTACTATAACCGGTAATGGGACAAATCAAAATTGTGTGCCACCTGACATTATACAATGAGAAGAACAGCATCATATCTATAATATTCCTGCCAAAGATGCATAAACTGAAACTAAACGCTTGGAAACATTAGACACACCCAGATTGAGGGACATTCTATAAAAACCTTGTCTGTAAACTTTAAAATTTTGAATTGAAAGTCAGAATAAGAGTGAGAAACTGTTCTAGGTTGTAGGAGACTACAGAGCTATGATAGCTAAATGCAACATGTAATTTTGGACAAGACATTTTGCTATAAAAACACTACCAAGACAGTTGGTGAATTGAAATGGGGCATGATGAATATAGGGTAGTAATGCAGCAATGTTAATTTCCTGATTTTGATGGCTGTATTATAGTTCCTTAGGTATGGTTCCTGCCTGTGGGAAATACTATCTACAGTCTTCAGGAGTGATGGGGCATCATCAGGTTGACAATTTACTTTAAAAAGTTCATGCAAAAAAAGTTCTTTGCACTGTACTTGCAGTTTCTGTAAGTTTGAGATTGGGTAATTTGAAAACAGTGACGTGTGCTCAGGCAAAGGGGAGCTCAGGTGTTAAGGTTATTCGGATCATCTTGGAGGTGTGTGAGATGGGGAGGGGATGTTGGCAATTTGGATAACAGGGATGAGTCAACCCAGGTTCTTTCCCTTCAATAATACCTTCCCCTTTGGCTAGGCAAAAGGGGCTTTGGCCTGGGTCCATGCTCAAAGGCCCTGCTTTGACCCTCCTTTTGTTCTAATATATCCCCATGAGGGAGGGTTAAATACGCAGGGACAAAGGGACATGCCCATCAGATCGGGTTCCCCCTTCTAGTCCACCCAGAATCCTTGAGACTGTTGGGCCTCTCTTCCTGGTCCATCCTCGCAGGGTTGATTGAGCCACAGGTTTTTGCACCCTAGGCCTGGGAAGTGATCATGGAGTTATTTACAGGATTGTGGACCAAGCTTGGGCTTAAGGACTGATGTCCATGTGTGTGGATGGAGGTCCTGGAGAAGGACTGCTCTCTGCCGGTCGCCACATTTAGTTGGGGCTCAAGGATTGCCTATAAGAGAACTCTAAATTTGCACTTGGACTTTCAGTTCTTAGTAAGACATATTTGTCTCCGTAGCAGAGATAGACCCTACTCTACTTAGACCATGCTGAGGAAGAAACCCCACAAAACACTTAGGTAAGACTTGTAGGCGCTGCGCACCCTAGTGGTACACAACCTGTAATGCGCAAGCCGAGTGCTGGGGCCAATCAGGTGCTGTGCCTTGAAGAGGCGGGCGGAGAAGGGAACCCGGCACCGAGCAGGCGGGTGGGGCGAAGAGTGGGCGGGGATGGCGCGCCTGAGAGCTCTGGGAAAGAGCGCGTGGCGCGAGGCGGGGGGGCGGAGCCATACGTCTCTGCGCGCGCGGGTAGTGCTCCGCGAGGCCACGCCTCTTCCGGCCAGCCGCATTTCCTCCGCGTGTGCTTGAATGCACACCTGGTGGCGGCTGTCTTAACGTCTGGGTTTGGCGGCTGGACGGGCGAGATGGCGACGGAGGTGTTGCCGAGTGCGAGATGGCTGTACTGTGGAGCGCCTGACGAGAGCCAGAGAGCTCTACTGGGTAAGCGGAGCTGGGGCAGAGTTCCCCGTAGCTTCCCCTTCCGTCTCCGTACCTCTACAGCCCTCCTCCCCGCCACACCCGTCCGGCCCCTTTCCCAGCTGGGTCAAGATCCCTTCTAGGCTCTAGCACTAATTGGGGCTCGGCCAGGGCTCCTCTGTCATCCCACCATCTTTCTGTCACCACTTACCAGCTGGATAAGGACGTTCCAGTTAACCCTCTCCCCAGGGCTGTACCCAGGACCGTCATCCCGTCACCCACCAGGTCTCACACCTGCTCCATTTCCTTCTTTCACACTGGTCAGAGATTCCCTCTGTCTTTCTAGGTCTGGCCCAGGTGTCCTCAGTCAGCCCCATTCAGATATTCCCTCCTGTCCAGACTCCTCTCCAGGCCTCCGCTTACCGCCCCGTCCCCTCTTCATCCCTCTTCCCACCTGGACTGGGACTTCTTTCGGTCCCCCTTTGGAAAGGATCTGGGCTGACTTGCCTTCCCCATTCCTCCAATCACTTCCTCCCATTGTCAGTTCATTTCCTCCCCACCATACACTGTGGGTCCTTCTGCTCCCATCTCATTGTTGGGCTGCAATCTTACAGTCCAGTTCTCCAATGGGAAGCTGCAGAATCCAGGCAACATGCGCTTTACCTTGTACAAGAGCAACGACTCCACAAACCCCAGGAAGAAGAATCAGCGGATCCTGGTAAGTGCTGCAGTGGCCAGTTGCCTCCACTCTGCAGACCTCGGGGGGGCCCCTTAGGAGTGTGAGGATGTAGGAGGGCATGAGAGGAGAAAAGGGAGGGTAGCAAATGAGCCTTTGAGGAGCTTTGATCCCCAGCAGGTGGAAATGTGGGGACAGGCTTCGTTTAGTTTCACATTTGTGGTGGAGCGATGGCCTTTTATTCATCTGTTCATTCAACAAGCGTTTATTGAGCCCCCACTGTGGCCCTGGGCTGTAAGCTGCTAGGGAAACAGCTAAGTCAGACCTGGCCCCACAGTGAGGGAGCTAATACTCTGGAACAGTGTTCCTCATAGCCTGCACTATTGACCTTTTGACCCAGGTTATTCTTGGTTGTGGAGCTGTCCTGGGTCACTGGATGTTTAGCAGCTTCCCTGGCCTCTACTCACTAGATACCAGTAGCATCTCCTAGTTGTGACAAACAGAAAGTCACATATTCCCAGATGTTCCTAGAGACGTATTTCCTTGAGTTGAGAACCATTGCTCTTAAGAGGTGAGATCTGGATGTGAGGGACACAAGTGCATAAGTAGACAAAGCTCAGGGTCCCAGGGAGGGAGAGTACAGGGCAGAATAGAGTGAGCTCGCTGGAGTCCTTGCTTGCCAGAATGCGTTCCTGGGGGAGGGCACACTGGAGCTGCACCCTGAAGGATGGAGGAGGGTTTGACAGCTGAGATTAGGTTTCCAAGTGAAGGGGATAGCAAGGACAAACATGAGGAAGCAGGAAAGCTTGGCTATGATTGAGGAGTGAATCAGCCATTTCCATAGTCCCATGTAAGGAGCAGTCATGGGATAAGTGGTCAAAGAGGTTCAAGAAGGGCTTGAACTTTGGGGTTGCCTGCATAATCATTTTGTTGCATGCCTCTAAGTGCTGGGAGCCCCGGGCCTCACTCCCAAGTCTTGTGGTACAGCTACCCCAAGAACTTTTCAGACCAGCTAGAAGCCTGCACTACCTGGGGCTTCCCTGTCAAAAGTCCTCTTGCCTTCCCTCCAGGGACAGCCTAGATTCATTTAGAGATTAGTGGAGCTGGATCATCTCAAAGAAATCGCAAAGATTTCTCATTCAAATCCATTGTGGTTTGGATTCGAAAGCTTCTGCAAATGTGGAAAAGGGAGACAAGATGTTTATCTTTCAACATTGGTTGTAATGGATCTTCCCCCCTTCTACATTTTAGGCAGCTGAAACAGACAGACTTTCCTATGTAGGAAATAATTTTGGGACTGGAGCCCTCAAATGCAACACTCTGTGCAGGTAGGGACAGGAGAAGGGGGTTGTGGGAAGTGGTGGATGGTGGAGTTGGCCCTGGCACTACTCTGTCTCTATTTTAGGGGCCATGGAGGAACTCTAGAGAGGCTTACCAAGTTTCTTTGTTCCCAGACCCAGGGGCCCTCACACCAGCATGTAGACATTCCTGAAAATGAAAAGCTTACATTTGTTTAATTTCCTAAAAACCTCACTAATTTGTAATCTTTAAAAAAAATTTTTTTAATTGAGGTATATTGGTATATAGCATTATATTAGTTCCAGGTGTGTAACATAATGATTTGATATATGTATATATTACAGAATGGCCACCACAGTAAGTCTAGTTAACATCCACACATAGTTAAGAAAATTTTTATCTTGTGATGAGAACCTTTAAGACTTAACTCTTAACAGCTTTCAAATATGCAATGCAGTATTATTAACTGTAGTCACCATGCTATACATTACATCTCCAGGACTTATTTATTTTATAATTGGAGGCTTGTACCTCTTAACCACCTTCATTAATTTTGGCCATATCATTAACTTAAAATATTCTTTATAACTATCTTGTTCCTAAAAGGCAGCTGTCTCCACTAATTTGGAGTAATCAATAGGCTAAAGTTTGCCAGAAGTCTGCCTTGGAACTAACTATAAGAAAAGGATTTGGTAGTGTCCAAGGCTCCAGAATTTCTATGTAGCTCTGGAAAGATTACTGACTTTGTGCAACTCTGCCCTTTACTGATCCCTAGTCTCTCCCTCGGTACAATGAAGATTGTCCAGCCTGAACAGTCTGTAACTGTCAGGGGTTGGCATAATGCAGACAGTGTTCCTGTGAAGGTATCCATCAGGGAACCACAAACAAAGCCCTTTCAGAGCCCCCCTGGATAGTCCTGATAGAAGTCAGATTAATGTGTACATGCCTCGAACTTGGACTTTCATCATCCCTTTACAAAGATTTTCTAGTTTAAACTGGTCGGTCTTCTCGCTATAATTACTAAGGTTTTACTTGTCTTTTCCTGCATGGAATTACATGTGCAGTCAATTCTCTATGTAATTTTAGATTCTGATATCCCAGCAGGGTTTCCCACTACAGCATTGAGCCCAAATGTAATTGGCTACCACAATCATCTGGTAGCTTTTTTTCCCCTCTCCCAGAACCACCTCGTGAACCCTTCCCTCCTTTCCCTCCCCATGCAGAGACTTGCTGCTGTAGGGGATTATTGTTACTCATGAGCAAGTGATGCATTCGTCAGGTGTATCGGGGCAGAAAGAAGGTTGAAAACTTTTAAGTAGGAAAAAGGAGGTTGTATAAGCAGTACCTTTTAAATAATCTATTGTCACTGGTATTATTCCTTCTCTATTCAGGCACTTTGTGGGAATTTTGAACAAGACCTCTGGCCAAATGGAAGTGTATGATGCTGAATTGTTTAACATGCAGCCACTGTTCTCAGGTAGGTCCCAGTCATGAAGGCTCAAAGAAATGCCAAATGTTTCAGGTTTGCTGGATGAGTTGGTTTGAGTTTTGATTTGTCAAATACATTTTGTAGCTGTTTTTTAAAGGTTTTTTTCCCCCCCATTTTGAAAAAGATTTAAGAGTGCTTTTACTCAGCAAATATCTATTGATGACCTACTATACTCCAGGCACAAGTTAGGGGCTGTGGATATAGCAAAACAGACATGGATCCTGTCCCTACAGTGTTTACAGACTTGTGATCAGAAACTAATCTTAGTTTAATTAATTAATCTTGCATTAAATCTATAGATTACTTTGAGTAGTATGACCATTTTAACAATATTAATTCTTCCAACCCAAGAGCATTGGATATCTTTCCATTTCTTTGAATCATCTTTAGTTTCCTTTATCAATGTTTTATAGTTTTCAGCATATAAGTCTTTCACATCCTTGGTTAAGTTTATTCCTAGGTTTGTGTTTTGGTTTTTTTTTGAAGTGATTTTAAATGGGTTTTTTTCCCCCTTTCTGATATTTCATTGTTAATGTAAAGAAATGCAACAGATTTCTGTATATTAATCTTGTATCCTGCACCTCACTGAGTACATTTATTGCTTCTAATAGTTTTTGTGTGGAGACTTTAGAGTTCTCTATCTAGAGTATAATGTCATATGTGAATAGTGACAGTTTTACTTCTTCCCTTCTAATTTGGATGCCTTTTATTTCTTCTTGTCTGATTTCTATGGTGAGAATTTCCAATATTATGTTGAATAAAAGTGATGAGAGTAGGCATCCTCTTGTTCCTGAATTTAGCAGGAAGGCTTTCAGGTCTTCACTGCTAAGTATTATGCTGGCTGTGGGTTTGTCGTAAATATCCTTTATTATGCTAAAGTGTGTTGCCTCTATACACACTTTGCTGAGAGTTTTTATCTTGAATGGATATTGAATTTTGTGAAATGCTTTTCTGGCCTCTATTGAGATGGTCATGTGGTTTTTGTCTTTACTCTTGTTAATGTGGTGTATCACACTGATTGATTCGTGTGCATTGAACCATCCTTGTGACCCTGGAATGAATCCAACTTGATTATGGTGAAAAATCTTTTTTATGTATTGTTGGAGTCAGTTTGTTAGTGTTTTGTTGAGGATTTTTGCCTCTATATTCATCAGAGATATTGGCCTGTAATTTTCTTTTTTCACAATGTCTCTATCTGATTTTGGTATCAGGGTAATGATGGTCTCGTAGATTGAATTTAGAAGTGTTCCCTCTTCTTCAGTCTTTTGGAATAGTTTGAGAAGATAGGTATAAGTTCTTTATATGTTTAGTAGAATTCCCCAGTGTAAGCTTTTGGGTCCTGGAATTTTGTTTGCAGTGGATTTTTAAATTTTAGATTCTGTTTCACTTCTAGTGATTGGTCTGTTCAAATTGTCTGTTTCTTCTTGACTCAGTCTTGGCACACGTATGTTTCTAGAAATTTGTCCATTTCTAGGTTGTCCAGTTTGTTGGCATATAACTGTTTACAGTATTCTCTTACGGTTTTACTTATTTCTGTGGTATCAGTTGTTATTTCTCCTCTTTCATTTCTTATTTTGCTTATTTGCATTCTCTCTTCTTGGTGAGCTGGCTAGGGGTTTGTTGATTTTGTTTATCTTTTTTAAAAACAGCTCTTGGTTTTATTGATCTTTTTGATTTTTAAATTTCTATTTTATTTATTTCTCCTCTGATCTTTATTATTTCCTTCCTTTTGCTGACTTTGGGTATTGTTTGTTCTTCTTTTTCTAATTCTTTTAGGTGGTAGGTCAGGTTGTTAAGATTTTTCTTGTTTCTTGCGGAAGGCCTGTATTGCTGTGAACTTCCCTCTTAGAACTGCTTTTACACATCCCATAGATTTTGTAAGATTGTGTTTTCATCTTCATTTGTCTTGAGGTGTTTTCTTTCTTTTTTCTCTTTTTTTTTAATTTCACTGTTGACCCATTGGTTTTTTTAGTAGCATGTTGTTTAGTCTTAGCGTGTTTGTTCTTTTACCATTTTTCTTCCTGTAGTTAATTTCTAGTTTCATACCATTGTGATCAGAAAAGACACTGGATATCATTTTTATTCTATTAAATGTGTTGAGGCTTATTTTGTGACCTAGTACATGATCTATCCTAGAGAACGTTCCATGGACACTTGAAATGGATGTATATTTCTGCCTTTTTAGGATGTAGTGTCTCGTAGATATCAGTTAAGTCCAACTGGTCTATTGTGTCATTTACACTCTGTTGACCTTATTGATTTTATGTCTGGATAATCTGTCCATTGATGTTAGTGGGGTGTTAAAGTCTCCTACTATTATTGTATTATTGTCAGTTTTTTCCTATATGTCTGTTAGTATTTGCTTTATACATTTAGGTGCTCCTATATGTATATGTTAACAAGTGTAATATCGTCTTCTTGTATTGATTCTTTTATCATTATATAATCCTCTTCTTTGTCTTTCTTTATGGTCTTTGTTTTAAAGTCTGTTCTGTCTGATATGACTGTTGCTACCCCACTTTCTTATCATTTCCATGAAATATCTTTTCATCCTCTCATTTTCAGTCTATGTGTGTCTTTCACCCCGAAGTGGGTCTCTTGAAGGCAGCATATTGCAGATTCTTTTTTTTAATCCAATCAGCTACTCTGTCTTTTTCTCGAAGCATTTAGTCCATTGACATTTAAAGTAATTATTGATAAGTATGTACTTATTGCCACTTTAGTCCTTGTTTTTCAGTTGTTTTTATAGTTCTTTGTTCCTTTCCTCTTCCATTTGTTTTTACTTTTGTGGTTTGATGATTGTCTTTTGTAGTATGCCTGAGTTCCTTTCTTTTTGGTTTTTGTGACTCTTAATGTCTTTGATTTGTAGTTACCATGGAGTTTATGTATGTTGACTTATAACTATATCTATTTGCATTAAACTGATAGTCGTTCAAGTTTGACCACATTCTAAAAGATCTACATTTTTATACTCCCCTCCCCCACATTTTGTGATTTTGATGTCCTATTTTATATCTCCATGTCTATCCTTTTACTGTTTATTGTAGTTATAATCACTTCTATGACTTTTTTGGATTAAAAAAAGTCTACATACTGGCTATTTAAGTGATCTTCCTCTGCCTTTTCATTTTACTTAACTTTCTTTGTCTCTTTAACTTTAAGAGAAACATTTATTGTGTTCTCAAAGGGTATTTTTATGTGGGTGTGTCCCTATGTAGACTGCATGTGTCCAGTGTCTTTGGTACGGGGGCTAGTTCTGATATGTTTGCCAGTCACGTCTTTCCTTAGGGTGTGCTGGCCACCATCACCTTGACAGGGGCTGTGGTTGGTGCTGTAGGAAAGACCGAGTCTTTTCCCGAGGGCTGGTTGGCCCAGATCTCACGCCAAGCTGTGGTGTGTAGCGAGTGGGGCTGAGGTGGTTGCCCCCTTTGGCCTGGGGAATGTGGTGAGCCAGCAGCCGCCAGGGCAGAGTGCTCTCTGCCCTGATTGTTGGCAAGCCAGCACGTGCGTACTCTTCACGAGTAGAGTCTAGGTTTCTCTAGTTCCTCTTTCTGTCCTGCAGCCAAGGGGGCTTATCACCTCTGTGCAGGACCCTAGGACTGGGACCCCTAGTCTGTGGCTCTGCCCACTTATTCCCCAGGGCGAGGTTCCGCCCTTGGAGACCTTCTCTTCCTTTCAGTTCCCTCTCAGGGGTGAGAATCCTGATGCTATGCCTTTTTTTGTCCCACCTGGTTTCATGAAAATCTTTCTTGCAGCTTTGTTTGTATAGGAATTCTGTCAGTCTCACAGTTTTCCACGAGAATTGTTCCACATATAGGTGTATTTTTGATGTGTTTGTAGGGGGAGGTGAGCTCTACATCTTCTGCTCTGCCATCCTGATCCCTCTTCCTTAGGTCTTTTGCAGGGAGGACAAAACTATCTACTGGAAAGAGCAGAGGACTTAGTTTCTAATCCCATCTCTGCCATTGCCTGGTGAACTGACCTGGGCAAGTCATTTCATCTGGAAGCCTCATTTTTCCTTATTTGTAAAATGAAGAGCTTGGATCAGATGACCCTTCACTTGACTCCTTAACTTACACTCCAAATTCTCTAACTGTACTACAGCTTCATCCTGAATGTTCACAATACACATGCATATTAAGCTCTGGGAAGTCCTGTAGTACAGAAATCTGTTTTTCTTAGATTAACTGTAAACAAATATTAAACATTATTACTACTTGTAGGTCTTATGGTTTGCTTTTTTTTTCTTTCTGTTTTTATTTGTTCTGTGTTTTGTAGATGAATCAGTTGAGAGTGAATCGACACTAGAGAACCAGACCAAATCTTTTAGGGAAAAGGTAAGTGTGACAGAACTGACATGAGACCTAAAGCAAGTTCCTTCTAGACCTTGGGTTTCCCCCAAATTGAGCTGGTTGAAAGCAGGGGTCTCCCTGGCTGCTCCCAGCACGTTCAGTCTGTGATTCTCTAGACAGTTCCTACCTGCAGAGGCCTCCTCGGCCTCACAGAGAGCAGACCTCCCATCTGGGGCGACTACACACAGCTCTGTGCCAGTGTTTGGAACCAGTTCTCTGGGCTGTTACAGGTGTAGCATAACACTTGTTTTCAGGATTTAATCCAAGTTTCAGAAAATACCGGCGCTATCCTGGAAACCTTATACCAAGACAAAGTAAACTAGGATTTTCAATGTAGATGGTTCCTGCAAAGCTAAATCTCACCCCGGGATGGCAAGGTGATGGAATCTTCAGTGCCCTTGGAGCACTGTATTGAGAAGGGAGTGTCAGGCTGTCTTCAGGCTCATAGAGAGAGTGAGTGTCTATGAGCAATGTCTGTCATGGATGTGGGATTGGAAAGTGGTAAGCCAAGTGCCACAGATTTACCAACACTAATTCTAGCCAAGTGTCTTCATTTTACAGACGGACACTATTGATTTATAAATAGCTCCTTACAGTTTACAAAGCAAGTACTTCAAATCTCTTAATACCATTTGGTTCTTAAAATAAGCCTATGGGGTAGTTAGGTATGAATCAGCCCAATTTACAGGTGAGGTATTAATGACTCAGAGAGGTTGAGCGTTTCCACATAGTCACACAGCTAGGAGTAGTAGTACCAGCCTGTCCCCAGTGACCAGATTTGTCTTTTGCACAGATGGATTCTTGCATTGAAGCTTTTGGTACCACCAAACAGAAGCGGGCTCTGAACTCCAGGAGGATGAACAAAGTTGGCAGTGAATCTTTGAATCGTGCAGTGGCTAAAGCCGCAGAGAATATTATTGATACAAAGGGTGTCACTGGTAAGCAGGTGGAACTTGGGGTAAGAGGCTGCTCGTAGAGACAGCTTTCTCCTCTCTTGAGATCTTTTACCCGCCCCACAGAGGGAAGTGATGGGAGTGAGGGCTGTATTCCTTCCTGCCTCTCACTGAGGGCCTTCTTAGGAGCAGACTCTGATAGTGGTAAGAAGCACCTGACATGGCCTGCCCTCAGTAAGCTCACAGTCAAGTAGAGGAGACAGGCGTGGGGATGGCTCTATGCCCTCCATGTCCTTGGTGCCAGGGCTACAGCCTGCAGGGCACAGGGGAGGGAGAGGGCCTCATGTCTCTGAGTTACAGGGAGGCTTTAGTCAAAAAGTGACGTGATGATGATGTACTGAGCTTCCAGAGACAGTGTCTCACTTTGGGGTCCCTGGATCTTTTTCTTTTCCTAAATTTTTCAGCAGCTTGAATATTTAGTTGTATTATTTAAAATGTACTATTCAAATACATTATAAGAATGTAAGAGAAAGTTTATATATGTGTGAGAGCAGTTTTTCTATTAAAATGAAATTTTAGTAATTTTTAGAAAATCTTTCCGTAACACATGATTTTATAAATATTTTCCTACATTTACTTTCAATATTTTCACAATTTTACTTTTTACACCTAAATCTTAATGAAAAAATTTTTTTCTTTCTTTGCCTGTGGTACAGACCTCATTTTATATTTTCCAAATGATTAGCCAGATGTCCCCAATTCCATCCTTTCCTTTTGTAAAAAATGATTTAAAAAGTCACCTCTGTCATTTTGCCACATTCTCGGTTGTGTTCTGTCTCATCGTTCTGATTGGCTGCTCTTGAGGCAGCACCAGGGTCCTCTGATTGTGGTAGCCTCATCTTCCAGTTTACTGCCTGGTAGGGCAAAGTCACCACCTTCATCCTTGTTTTTCACAAATGTACTTTTTCTTCCAGGTGATCTTAAAAATTACTTTGTCAAGTTTCTTTAAAATCATTTGCAATTAATATGAGGAGAATCAACATCTGTATAATATTATGTTTTCTCATCCAGGAACAGAAATATGTCTCCATTTAGTCAGATATACTTTAATATCTAAATAAATTTTTCAGTTTTTTAGTCTGGTTTACTCTCAGCTATTAAAGGAAAGAAAAATAATTCACCTATTTCCCCATCATTCTTACCAGACCAACTGTTACAGTTTTCCTGTTTCCTCTCTGTTCTTGTCTGTATGCGTACTTAATTCTTACATGGTTATCCCTCAGAGATAGTTACAATTTTATGATTTGATTTTTTTTTTAACTCAGTTTGTGGAGAAGTTTTCTGGAAGTTAAGCCATTAAAGGCTATTTCGAATATCCCTCATTTTTAGCTTCTCTTCTGTTGTATTGTAAATATTTATTAGCACACCTGTCTCCCTGCTATACTGTGAGTCACCTGAGGAGGACTGCGCTGTGTCCATCTTCTCTGGGGCCTTGATGGGTTTACGTCATGAGTGGACATGACAGTCCTGGAGCAGTCAGCCTGAGGGGGAGGTCAGGCCATACTGGCAGAAGTGTTCAGATGAGGGGGTTCTGGGCCAATGATGGTCTTGAGCACATAGGTTGCAAAGAGTGTTGGGAACCTGAGGCCAAGCAGGGTGATACTGACACTGACTCTCCCTTTACTGAAAAGCCCTGGTCAGTGACGCCATCCACGATGACTTGCAGGACGACTCCCTCTACCTCCCTCCCTGCCACGCTGATGCAACCAAGCCTGAAGACGTGTATAAATTTGAAGACCGTATCCTTCCTGTGGGAGGAATGCCGCCTCATGTCCCAAGTTGGGATATGCACACAGAAGTGGCCCAGCCAGGCTCTCTGAGGGTGTTGGTGGTCCTCTGATGCTCACAGAAGCTACCCCCAGGCCCTTGCGGTTGCCCCAGTGCTGTTGCTGTGATGTCAGTGAGGCTTCCTCAACAGCTGAGGGACCCACTGCAGCACCGGCCTGTCAGCCCTTGGGATTCAACCCATTCCTCAGCAAAATGGGAAATGCCCACAGCTCAGCCCTGTGTGCATGGTGGGGGGGGGGTCGCTCTCCATGAAGAGTCAAAACATGACTTAAGTTGGCCAGTGCCCAAAGTCTAGGGCAGACTGATTTTGTAAAAGGAAGGGTTAGAATGTAGAGTTTCCATACCTGTGGCTCTAGTCAGAGGGAAAACGCCTACAGTGGCTTTGTGATAAGAGAAGACAGAAAGGCCCAGGCAGGGAATGAGCTCTGGGCTGAGAGTGTGGAGACTGGGCTCTGAGCTCTGCCCAGACATACTGTGTGAGCATCCCCTCTCTGAGCCTCTGTTTTCCCATCTCTAAAACGAGGCCGCTACGAGATGAGCTTGTTAGTTGGATGTTTCCATTTTGGTCAGGTTGTGTCCTTGACCTGTAACTAGTTCTTTCTCCAGCGGAGTATGACGCTCTTCAGAGCCCATCTGAAGCCTTCAGGAATGTCACATCAGAAGAAATACTAAAGATGGCTGAAGAGAACAGGTACCCCACTTGGGCATATGGAGTGTCTGGGGAGTAATGTTGGGACACAACAGTAGTCAGACACGAAGTGGACCTTGGATGTCAGTCAGTGAGGATACATGTCTGTTCAGCATTTGGACGTGAACGAGCTAGTGTTGTCTTGAGTGTTTGGGCCCCCAAGTTGATCAAGGGAGATAGTTGACCTCAGTGCATGTGGCTGGGCAGAGGGTGGTGAGTCCTTATAGTCTGGGGTTGGGAACTGGAGGTGGCCTCTGTGCCCTCAATGTTACGCTGATGCTGATTGTCTCTGGTGAGGCCCAAGTACTGGCGTGGGAGTAGGTGCCACCTGGTGATGGTTTATCTGTGGTGATGTGCTGAGTGAGCTTTTCTGAAGTTAAGTTTATACATTTAGGGGGGATAATTAAGTTTGTTTGTTTATTTTAATGGAGGTACTGGGGATTGAACCCAGGACCTCCTGCATGCTAAGCATGAGCTCTACTGCTTGAGCTGTACCTTCCCTGCCAAATGTATACATTTTAAATGAAATATGTTTTAAATAATTTAGAGATAATTTCCTCCCCTTCTTTTTTTGGCCATTTAAAGCAGGGGTTTTTTTTTTCTCCTGCTTTTGAGTTTTTCTTTTAATAATTTCATCTTGAGAAGATAAAAAGTTATCAACCTAAGGTTGTTTCTCAAGATTTTTGTTTGAAGATTTTACTGGTCAGTGAAATCTGAAGTCTTGGAAATACTTTTTTTTTTCTCTTTCCAAAGATCCATTTCCAAAAAAGAGCTCATTACTGGTTCTTTGTTGTTTTAATGTGATTGTGGCCCAGGGGCAGCTGCAGGAATGAGTTCTGGGCTGGGAGTCTGGAGATTGGAATCCCCAAGCTCCGCCTGGTGTACTATGTGATTGTCCCCTTCCTGAGCCTTGGTTTTCTTATCTGTAAAATGAGGTGTTACCAGATGGCCTCAAAGAGCCTTTTATTCCTGGAAGTCTGGAATCCTGAGAGTAGAAGAACTATACGTAAAAATAATAGCCAACATGAGTTGAGCAGTGGTTTGCTTACATTGTCTTTTTAATCCACAAAAATCCGTAGGATGAGGGTACTATCATTAGCCTTAATTTACAGATGAAGAAACCGGGCACCGAGATGTTCAGAAGTTTGCCCAAGCCACTTAGTGGCAGAGAGGGGGATTCAAACCCAGGTAGCTGAGAGCCTGTACTCTAGACCACCACGTCAGAGTTGGGCCAGCTATGGCCCACATGCCGAGTCTGGCTGGCTGCCTGTGAATGAAATTTTATTGGAACACAGCCTCAGTCGTTCATGTCTGTGTTACCGATGGCTGCCTGTGTACTACAATGGCAGTGACCATATCACACACAAAATGTGGAATACTGACTGTCCAGCCCTTGGCTGCCCCTGCACTAAGTCGTGCTCCTCCTGTTACAAGGGGCTGGTGGGATGGCCCTTCCTCCACTGTTGACTGTGTACCAGTGTGAGGGGTGCCTGCTGTCTTTGGTGTGAAGGAGCGAGTGGCTCCTGACAGAGCCAGTCTTACACATTCCTCCTTTTCCCTCCCTCATTAGTCACTGCTCCTTCGTCATAGAAGCGTTGAAGTCTTTGCCATCAAATGAGGAGAGGCGAGACCGCCAGGCCCGGTGTATATGGTTTCTGGACACCCTTATCAAATTTCGAGCACAGAAAGTGATTAAGCGGAAAAGTAAGTCCATCATAGGCATTTTATTCTAGTAATTTCCAGTCTGTTATTTGCCTGCAATTCTTAGACCAGCTCTAGTGAGCGAAGAAAATGGACATGCCTGTCCAGGTCTTTATTTTTAACTGTGTAGCGGTGGGATTCCTGCTGGTACTGCTGACGTGCTGAGAGGACTTGCCAAGCTCTTTCCTCTGAAAATAGGGTCAGGTTGGATTATACAGTTGCTCGGAGCTAACATTCACTGTTCTGTTCCATGTCAGGCAAAGTATAATATCCAGGCAAATCAAATGAACATTTTAAGGGATGGTTAGACAGACATAGTTGTATGGGGTGAAAAATTGGCCTTGCTTATAATGTTGTTGTGTCAGCATATTTCTGACTGGGAGAGTTGGTAACTGTGTCGTCTGGCGCTAGGGCGTGGGTGGCTGCCAAACACTTCCGTTCACCCAGTTTCGGAAGCCCAGAGGGAGACACCTGTGATTTTAGGCATAAGATATGCGCAGTCGTGTTACTGTGATTGGGCACCAAGAGTCTGTACGAGCACATTGTGGTCTTCTGTGCTGCACTTTTATTGTGCTTCATAGATACAGGATTTTTTTTTTTTCAAACAAATTGAATGCTTATTGCAACCCTGCGTCAAGAAAGTCTATTGATGCCATTTTCCCAACAGTATTTGCTCACTTTGTGTCTCTGTGACACATTTCGGTAATTCTCACAATAGTTTAAGCTTTTTTATTATTATATTTTTTATGATGGTCTGCAAATAGTGATCTTTGATGTTACTACTGCGACTTGCTCAAGGCTTACATGATAGTTAGCAATCTTTAGCAATAAAGTTATTGTTTTTTTTTAATAGACTATTTTTTTAGAACAGTTTCAGGTTTACAGCATAAAGTTATTTTTTAATTAAGGTATGGACATTGGTTTTTTTTAGACATGATAGTATTGCTCACTTAACAGACTACAGTGTACTGTAAACATAACTTACATGCACTAGGAAATCAAAAAGCTCACGTGATTCGCTTTATTGCATAGCATACAGCTGTGTCTATATTCATGTTTTTCAGTATTTGCTTAATTCTTATTTTCACATGCCAGTCTCCCCTCCTTACCCTCTTCCTGGGCTTTCTCCACAATTGGTCTTTCTTCCTTGTTGCTGCCCCATCACGAACATCTCTTGTGCACGTATGGTCTGCAGGCAGAAGCACCCCTGAGCACAGTTTCATTTGAAAGTGGCTGTTGTGTTCCATGGGCTCCTTCTCCTCCCACGTGCTTCTGTTCATTTCATTGCCCCAGTGGCTGTCCTCTTCTCCCAGCACATAGGTGAGTGTGGCCTGAGAGGGCTGAAAGAAAATGATGGGACTCCTCTGTGTCTTGTAGGTGCCCTGGGACCTGGAGTTCCCCACGTCATCAACACTAAGCTGCTGAAGCACTTTACCTGTTTGACCTACAACAACGGCAGGTCAGGGGGCTTGATTTCTTAGCTTCTGCCTGTAAAGGAGAAAGCAGGGTGTGGAGGGTGATGAGAGTGGGGAGGAGGTTTGGATTGAAGTCCGTGTCCACAGAGAAACTGCTGAAGAGGGCACTGCCACTTGGAGGGGTCCTGGGGTCACGTGAGTTTAGGTAACACTGTAGGACAGACTCTAGCCCTCTGGAGAAGTTCACGTTAAAGGCTCTGGGAAGTCCTGCAGTGAAGTCTTCACATCACACACTTTTTCCGAGGACCCCTGCCTAAACTCCATGGAACTAATGTTCTGCTGGAAAGGGCAGGCCAGTAGGATGACTTTGGGGAAGGAATCCCCCAAGCAGGGCACCTGGGCTTTCTTCCTGCCATTTGCTTGGAATATGTTTTCTGCTCTGAGTGTGCTTGGAAGAATCGTCAAGCAGCCAAGTTTGGGATGACTGGTTTCCCAGCAATCCTGCTGAGCAGGCTGGGAAAGACATGGCAGGTCCTCACTGGTGTGAGGCTCTGACTGCCTGGGGATCTTGTAGGTGGGCCTTCTCTGTCCCCCTTGGAGGGAGGCGGGGATTGGCTCGCTGCTTGGCTATGTGTGAAGGCTCAGGCGCCACAACCAGACAAGGAATGTTGACCAAATTCCTTTTCCTCTCCCCGGGATGGGAAGACATATGAATGCGTTGAATGTTTTTGTTTTTGGAGAAATCATCTGAGAGTTTAATTTTGTCTCTCTTGTCTCTCTTACTGACACTGGTTTGCAGTTTACGGAACTTAATTTCGGACTCTATGAAGGCAAAGATCACCGCCTATGTGATCATACTCGCCTTGCACATAAACAGCTTCCAGGTTGACCTGACAATGTTACAGAGAGACTTGAAGCTCAGTGAGAAAAGGTGAGCACAACAGAAGGAGAAGCTCCCTTAGGGTGCCTTGGTGTCATTCTGATACCACTGGAAAGCCTGAGGCACCGTCAAGGGACCTGGGTGCAATCTTCAAATAATGAATGATTGATTGAATGGATAAGCATCCAGTCATGACTGAGAGCCTTCGCTCTGCTAAGCACAGTGTTACATCTGTCAGAATCTCTCTCAGTGATTTCCCCAAGAAACAGCTGAAGAAGAATCTTCGGTTCAGATACATCAGTGACTTTTCCAGTGTGACACAGCAAAGAAAGGGAATAGCTGGGCTTCGACCTGAGCCTTCTGACTCTCTATGACCAAGCACCCTCCAGTCTCCAAATTGCTGTCACTGGGAAGAGGGATTCTGTGTAGTTCTGAGGCAGGGTCACCTAGGAGTGGAAGTTACATAAGAACCCAATTTCAGCTTAGCAAAAAGAACTTTCTTAGAGTCAGATGGAAGGGGCTGCAGGGGAGGTGGTGTGTAAGGCAAGAAGGGCTGCAGTTTGGCGGGGATGCCCCATTCGGGATTCTCTGACTGGACTGGGAGGGTGGCAGAGATGACCTCTCAGGCCCTTTCTAGCCTTGCTAGAAGGGATTCAGACTGAGTAGGGAGCAGAACCTGCCAGGGTGCTGAACCACGGGATGGGCTGGCCTTCATCAGTGATTTAGGTACATCTAGCATCCAAGGACCCTGACGGTGTTCCAAGAGCACCTAGGAAAACACCCTTATCTGGACTTTTGTACCAGTCCATAGAGGGGATTTTCTAGGGCCGTCCACAAATGGCAGTCTCATGGTGGTGAGGTTGAACATGGAAGAGAAACAGATACTTGGAGCCTGTATTATTCTAGCAAGTGCTCAATCCTTTTACAGGAAGTGAACAGAGTTGTCCGTAGGATCTAGATAACCTGGTTTGCCATCACCTATGTAGATATTTTCTAAGGACAACACATTAAAAAGGGAGACTGATGGCTCTCTGCTGGAGGCTTTGCTCCTCGTGGCCACCTTGGGGAGTCTGTTTCTTGGCCTCGAGTGCAAACGTGCCGCCCCCTCCTGCCAAGCCTCCCTGAACAGTCACATTGAGGAAACTCTCCTTGGTTTCCTGTTTTTGTTTCCTTAGGATGATGGAGATAGCGAAAGCCATGAGGCTGAAGATCTCTAAAAAAAGGGTTTCTCTGGCAGCGGACAGGGAAGAGGATCACAAACTGGGCACTCTCTCCATCCCGCTGCCTCCAGCCCAGACCTTGGACCGTCAGTCGAAGCGGAGGAAGATCACCTAGAGGTGTACTTTCCAGATAGAGCATTTTGGCCACATCATAGCCACTGTTTCTATTCATTTGAATTTTTATTTTTAAAGAAAGAGGAAAAAAGCAGCCTTGCTTTGGCATGGGTATGAAGCCAGAAGCCAGCACCTCAGTAGTACTGATCTTAAGCACAAACATAAAGCGATGGCCATATTGGACTCCATCTGCCTCCTTCAGTGTTGCCGTGATTGTCAATGGTACGTGGTTCCTGTGTGCGATGTCGGAGGGTGGGGTCTGGGGAAGTCGGAGGCAAAAGATCTCATAGGCTGAACCTTGGGCCACCTCTAATGGATAAAGGTTAATAAAGAGAAATGTGAAGTGCTGTGCTTCGGTTTGGAAGGACCAGTGGGGTACATGGTGAGGGGACAGCCCAGCAGGGCTAGAACGGGAGGCTTCAGGTCACTGGCGTGTTGGGGTTGCCTGAACAGGCCAGTGTAGTTCCCAGCTGCAGTAACAGCAGAGCCAGATAAAAGGAAGTGATTAACCCTATTGCTCTTCCTGGCTCAGGCCACATGGAGGGCAGGGGTCAGCTCTGAAAGCCACATTTTTGAGATGAGTGAATCAGTCAGAGTTCAGTACAGAAAACAAATAAGTTCTAGGTATTCTTAAGGAGAGAGGAGTTTAATACATGGATTAAGTGCTATAAAATTGTCACAGGGCTGCAGAAGTGGATATCAGGAGGCTGCCACTAGCACTGTGGAGTTCACGAACACAGCTGGAGTGGCCAGCCAGGCATGAAGAAGGCACTTGAATTCATGCAGCTACTTGAATTCAGCTGCTGCTTGGATTCATGCAGCTGGTAACCTGACACTGGAATGCTGAGTTCAGCCAGCCATGCATTCAGTACTCACACCCCTCCACCTCCTTGCTTGTCAGCGCGAACAGCCAAAAGATCCAGATGCTGGCCTCCATCTTGCTCCCTTCTTCTGTGAGTACACGTTTAGGAGCCTAACTTGCATCTAGAATCCCAGCAGCAAGGGTCTCGGAAATAGGTTTCAGCTCTCCAGCCTCTGGTTACAGGAAGCCACACCAAGGCAGAGGGGAATGGAGGCTGACTGCCACCCACCTCATCTGCCAGGGGAGATGGAGAAGTCAGTGTCCAGCAGGGTGCATGGGAATGGGACTGTGACACGGAAAGACTTAGGTACGTGGCTAAGGCTCAGACTCAGCTGTTGAAGGCTCTTGTGAGGCAGTGGGAGCAGCTGAGGTCTGTGATGCTCAGTGCTGGGGGCCAGGAGCAGTGGGAGATGGAAGACAGAATTCATCTCTCTCTGAAAGTGAGAAAGGAGGAAGTTTGCACAGCAACTGGGCCACCCGTTAAGGAAGATGTGGTAGAAATGGGTCTTGGATGACTCGTTTCAGACTGGTGGTCCTTAAGTGTCTTTGAGCAGTGGGGTGCAGTTATCAGAGCCACTTCTGTGGCAAAACCAGGCCTGCAGTGCACATTTTCCAAGCTCTTGTTGGATGTGTCCCCATTTGTCTCTTGCCCTGGGTGATGGGCACCTGTACCATACTTGGTCTCCCTCCAGCAGAGGTGTGAGCAGGACATCTAAATGCTGCTTGTTTGTCTTTAAGCTGTTGTAAAAATCAAGTATGTGACTCTGCATCAGAAAAAATAATATCCTGATCTGTCTCTGGGGAAAGAATTCCTAATGTGCTTATGGGTTAGAATGTGTTTTCATGAATCCTTTTTAGCTTCTGATGGTTTTGACACTTTGAGGCTTTATTTCTAGTAGTGGTAAGATCACAGCGTGTGACCTGGCCTCTGAGCAACCTCTGCCCTAGTGACTGGGAAGCCGCCTTTCTTTAGTCACTCACACTCAGAGGGGTAGTATTGATGGGGAAAAGTCCAGGACGGTAAATATATAGTCAGTCCTTGAACAGTACCGGTTCGAGCTGTGTGGGTCCACTTACACGTGGATTTTTTTCACTAATAAGTACTTCAGTACCACACAAGCAGTCAGTTGAACCAGCAGATGTGGTATCTCGGATAGAGGGCTGATACAAGTTATTCATGGATTTTCAACTGTGTGCAAGTCAGTGCCCCAAACCTTGCATTGTTCAAGGGTCAGCTGTATACTTGTCCTGAGTGGCAACAGGTGTACCTCAGTAGGTGATGCAATCCCAGGGACTGACTGAAAAGCAAGTTTCCGTATGTCAAGGAGCTCGTGGGTCAGAAGGCTCAAAAGGCCCTCGTTCAACAAGTCTTGTGAGAAGGCGCCCAGCACAGTGCCCGGCATAAAGCGTTGGTGCCCGTGGAATGAGTACATGCTGCCCCTTCTTTCCCTGGCAGAGCTGTTAGGCAGTAAAACTTGAGTAACAGTGGGGTTGTACTAGGTTTTTTCCTAGCTCTAAAAACCCATTTACATTCACAGAGGAGTCCTTGATCCCCACCCACCCCCAAGGTATTTGCCCTAATGTCCCTCGGTGACCTCTTGGAAGAAGACAACTCTGGGCTAGATGCTTTTATACCCTTAATAAGATTTGCAGGTTGTGGAATAGTCTTAACTTACGAGAGTTAACAGAATGAAGTCTGTTCCCTGGAGGGAAGTCTCTGTGGCCCTCACCTGCTGGACACTTAACAGTGATGAGGTCAAAGAAGGTGTATTTAACATACTTGCAGAGGACCCAACCTGGAAATAGCTAATTAGGTAAAATTCTTTAAAGTGTCTCCTTTTAAAATCTTTATTCTGATATAATGCCATACTTAGAAAATGGCTGCAAGAATAGCACGGACTGCTGGATGTCCTTCACCCAGATGGTCCAGCCGTGCATGGGTTGTCCTGTTTATCACTTGCTTTATGCATCTGTGTCTTTTTGAACCATTTGGGAAAGTTTAAGAAAAGCATCCTGCCCTTTCTACCTATAAGTACTCAAGTGTGTATACCCTAAGAATAAGCACTTTCTCGTTCACGAGCACATCGCACGTGCCAAAAGCAGGGACCAGAGCAGCGAGGCAGTGCTAGTATCTAGCCCCCAGCGCACATTCACATTTTGCCGATCACACCACTTACTCAGTCTAAAACAGTTCCTCAGTCTTTGCCTTTCTTAACCTTGACATTTTAAAGAGTAAAGTCAGTTATGTAGGGCGTCCCTTCACTTTGGGTTTGTCTTGTGTTTCCTTGTGATAAGATTCAGGATACACGGTTTTGGCAGGGATATCATGAGGGGTTGTGTCCCAAGTGCATCACAGTAGAGGCATTGTGATGTTGGTTTGTCCTGTTCTTGCTGATGTTAATTTTTATTGGTTAAGGTTATGTTCCCTCCACTGTGAAATTTCTATTTATAATCAATAAGTAATTGTAGGCTGTTTTGAGACTCTGAATATTCTGTTCCTCATCAAACTTTTATCTGAGAGTTTTAGCCTTGATTGATAATTTTTGCTGAATCAGTTACCAGGGTGGCTGCAAAATGGTGAGTGATTTTCTAACTCCCATAATTTCTTATACACTTATTATTGGCATTCTATTATAAGGAAGGAACTTTCTTTTCTCTCCCTTAAAATTCTTTTTGTTCTAGTTATAAGTATGGACTCAGATTCTTGTTCTGTGAACACTGTTATCATTTAATTTTGATACTCAGATTGTACCACATTTGGCCAGTCTGAGTTCCTGCAGGCTAGCTCCTGTATCCCCATCTTTTTAAGCGTGCTTCCTTAATTTCTGGCACAAAATATTCTAGCCATCCTGTACGTTGCCTGCCCCAGCTCTGGAATCAGCCTTTTATCCAAGGAGCCTGGATGGATGACATGATTGATGGCCTAAGGCAAGAGGTGAAATGCCACCCTGACAATCAAGACAGAAGACAGACGGCATCTTTGGCTGCACTCAGGCAAGAACTGGTTTCTAAGCGGGGTGACAGTTGTGGTGTGAGTCACTCAGACTGCACCAGAGGGCCATGTTAGGCTTGACTTCATTTCAAAGGGATGATAATCACAAAGGAGGGGCTCCAGAGCCCCCAGGCCATAATGGCACCTGCAAAGTCCTGGACAGGAAGGGAGAAAGAACGAGTGGGATGAGAGTGTTCATGTCGGGCGAGTGCTCAGGGCTGGAACAAGCCCAGCGGGCCCCATGTGAGTCCACGTGAGGAAGCATTCAGAAAAGAGACTGCGGGAAGGAAGGAAGGAAAGGGAAGAAGGTGGGCCCAGGGCTCTGCTGAGGACAGTATAGGCGCATGTGCTGTTCGAAGACCCAGCGCTGGCTCCTGTCTGGTCTGGCCACACCACACCCCCATTCCCTGTAGTCAGGGCCTCAACAGGACTTGGAGGCCTGGATGAAGTTGCATTGGTCTTTGCTGTGCTTGTCTGCTCCCATCAGCAGGCATCAGGGTAAGCCCTGCCCACTCAGCCAGTGCAGGCTACTGCAGAGCAGTCTCCTTCCAGATGCTTCCTTAACTACGGAAGAGCTCGGATGGGTGTTCCGAGCTCCTCTCACTTACGCATCCAAATGATTTGGCAGAAGATGAACACTCTGTGTGTGTGTGTGTCCCCTGGCTGATGGAGCCCTAGGTGACAGCCTGCCTACACCTCTCCTCCCTACAAGCTCTTAACATTAGGTGGGGAACCTAGTGGACCTTAACAGGCATCACCACTCAGAACTCAATTCCTTTTGTAAAAAAGGAGCAATAACCTCACCAAGTCAGTGCTTAATATACTGTTGATGGGCTGTAAGATGATTGTGGTGGCATGGGGGTGTGTCAGGATATATGAAGTTATGCTGGCTTGGCCAAACTGCAGTAACGAATTTCCCTGGAATGTTCAGTTTCAACAAAGGTTTATTCGCTTATGATAGCGTGAATATTTTCATTTTAATGAAATTTTATTTTTATGTGTGTTATTTTTATTTTTATATGTGTTTATTTTTGTGTGTGTAGTAGTGATAGAAACATTTCTTTTTAGTTGAGTGTTCCTTGATAGGATCCTGGAATGGAAAAAGGACACTAGGTAATGATTAAGGAAGGATATATGAATAAACTGTGGACTTTAGTTAATAATAATAATGTGCCTACTGGTTCAGTAATTTTGACAAAGGTACCATACTAACGTGAGGTATGTAAGGTGTTAATTACAGAAACTTGGCGGGGAGGGTGGTACAGGAACGCTGTACCACCTATCTCCTCACTTTTTCTGTAAATCTAAAACTCTTGTAGGCAGTGTTCAGTAAGTGGTGCTGGGAAAACTGGATAGCTACATGTAAAAGAATGAAATTAGAACTTTTTTTGTTCTAATTTTGTTCAAATTAGAAAAACTCAAAATGGATTAAAAACCTAAGTGTTAAGACCATGAGCCATGAAACTCCTAGAAGAAAACAGGCAGAACACATTTTGGCATAAATCATAGCAAGTTTTTGGATCGCCCTCCCAAAGCAAAGGAAACAAGAAAAGCAAAAGGACCCAGTTAAACTTAAAAGCTTTTGCACAGCAAAGGAAACCATCAACAAAATGAAAGGACAACCGACTGAATGGGAGAAAATATTTGCAAGTGATGTGACCAATAAGGGGTTAATATCCAAAGTATATAAAAAGCGCATACAACTCAACATCAAAGAAGCAACCTGATTTAAAAATGGGCAGAAAACCTAGACATTTTTCCAAAGAAGACAAACAGATGGCAAACAGGCACATGAAAAGATGCTCAGTATCACTAGTCATCAGAGAAATGGAAATCAAAACCACAACGAGGTATTTCCTCACACCTGTCAGAATGGCTGTCATCACCACAGATGACAAATGTTGGCAAGAATGTGGAGGAAAGGGAAAACCCTGAACACTGTTGGTGGGAATGTAAATTGGTGCGGCCAGTATGGAAAACAGTATGGAGTTTATTCAAGAGAGTAAAAATAGAACTAACATATGATCCAGCAGTTCTATTCCAGGGTATATATCTGAAGAAAATGAAAACACTAATTTGAAAAGATACATGCATCCCAGTGTTCACAGCAGCATTATCCACAATAGCCAACATATGGAAGCAACCTAAGTAAGTGTCCATCAACAGATAAATGGATAAAGAAGATGTGGTGTGGTGTATATATACATACACACACACAGTGGAATGCTACCCAGCCATTAAAAATGAAATTTTGCCATTTGCAACAACACAAATGAACTTGGAGGGTATTAAGCTTAATGAAATAAGTCAGACAGAGAAAAACAGATGGTGTATGGTATCACTTATATGTGGAATCTGAAAAAATAAAACCAGTGACAGTAACAAAGAAGACATACTCTGAGATCTAGAGAATAGTCTAATGGTTACCGGTGGAAAGAGGGATTGGGGGAGGGCAAGATACGGGTAGGCGACAGGTACAGATGACTATGTATAAAATAAGCTATGTGGATATATTGTACAGCACAGGAAATACAGCCAATATTTTATAATTATAAATGGAGTATAACCTTTAAAAATTGTGAATCACTGTGTTGTACACCTGAAACTTAAATATTATACATCGACTACACCTCAGTTAGAGATGAAAAATCTAAAGCTCTTAAAATAATCAATTAAAATAAAAGGATTTAAAGAAAAATATTCAAAGTACTAGCTTTCTCCTCAAGTGACAAACTATAGATGCTGAATGACTGAAGCTGGGAAAAATGTCATGGATCTGAAAACCCTCTGCAGACCATCAGGTCATCCATACCAGGCACTGTTGATCTTCACAAAGCCCACAGGACAGGCAGGGTGCAACTACAGTCCCTGACTGACACATGAGGAGGATGCAGGCCCTGGGAATTGTGTGGGAACAGGCTAAGTGGACAAGACGGCCCCGGGTCCCCGTCTCCTTCAGAAGCAGCAGCGGTGCCTCAGGGAGGGGAGCAGTGACGGGCCTGCATCCAGCATGTAGGAACTCTAGCACACACTCAGATCAAGGAATGTCCCCCTAGAAGTGCCTCTTTTAAAATATAGAGCTTTATTTTGGTTGCTGAGATTTTCATAAGCACTTGGTGCACAGAAAAGTCATTTCTTACAAAATAAAAGGCAGCATTTTGTACAGCGACTCACATTAGGGTCAGAGTAAGTGCAAAGGACAGTGCTGGGGATGGGAGGGGCCCACGCTCTTGTGCCCCAAGTCCCCAGGGAGAAGCCAGCTCTCCTGGCTCCCTCCAGCCCCCACCCTGCCCACCCAGGAGAGCAGCACCGGGGGCCCAGCAGAACCAGCCTGGGAAGCCATCTGTGAGGTGCACAGCAATGACCCTACCAGGCTGGTGAAGGCCCTGCATAAAGGGCCGGGTTGGGGAGGGGGTGACTGTTCAGGCTGAGCCTGCCTGGCTTTGGAACCGACATACTCACAGTTAAGTTCAGCACAGCCCTTGGGGAGCCGGCCTTCCTCTTCACTCAGGCTACTGACCCTGGGCTGGGGACTAGGGACACAGACCATGACCCTCAGGAAGCTCACAGGCAGGTGAGTGGGACAATACCTAAGCAAGGCAGCATGTACAGTGTGGGGACAGAGCACTGCCATGTGGGGGGCGGGGTGTGCTCTGTGGAGATGGCAGTGCCTGAGCCAAACCTGGAGGAATGGGTAGGACCTGGGTGGGTGCAGCCTGCAAGGAGGGGAGAGCATGAGCCAAGGCACAGAGTGG